CCGCGCGGGGAGGACCGGCGGCGCCGGGAGACCAGCGCTGCGCCAGACCGAGCTCGGTTCGCGGCCTGGGGCTGGCTGGGCGAAGGAAGCGCGGGCGTGCCGCTGCCCTGGGAGAGGGTCGGGGTGCTGGTGGCTGTGCTGTGCCCGGCGCTCGTCCCGGCGCTGACCCCCCCCGGTCGGGGTGGTCCTCGAAACGCTGGGTCCTGCTGTGCTGTCGGACTTACCTTGGTACCGGTCTGTGGCAACGCAGCTTACGCTTTTGGTCCTCAGCGGCTGTCCGGCCGGTACCCGTAAAGATCGCTCTTAGGCGCCCTCGAAATAACGACTGCTGCTACTGAGGGTGACTCTACGTAAGTAAGACCGGTATCCTGTTAAAGGACATAGCAGAGCCTAAGAGTGGGAACAAGCAGAGAAAATGCACGATGTTCCCAACGTTCAGCGAGCCTCTGGTCATTTCCAGCTCAGTCTTCCCTGACCGTATGTAGTTGCGTTTGTTTACTGATGTCAGGGTCCAGCTTTCTCCTCATTCTATGGAAACTTTTAGCGCTGGAAATGAATCCTGTGGGAAATTGCTTTACAGCTCAGTGGCCTGTTATCTGAAGAACAGGTTGCTTTTGTTGGTTTGAACCAAGCCCCTACGAACTTAATTTTATGTCTCCTAAGTTCTTGGTTGTTTCCCACCACCCCCAGCAATAAAGTGTTGTGATTATGTATAAAATAAGTTATTAGAATAGGTACATGAGAGAGGGAACCAAACTAGATTAATATGTGGTGTTCAATACCTAATTGGAAATAAAAGTATTTAAAAGTGTGCTCAAAACTTTCGGAGATAAGAAATGTTACAGATATATTACAAAGCTGTGTATTTTTTTCCCCAGAAAAACTTTGAAGTCATCAACAGTTGCATGCAACCATTCTGTATTCTCATTCAAATGCTGATTTTTAAGTCTAGTCTTTCATGATTATACTGTAAAAAGACAAGTATTTTTTTTACTTACAGTTTGACCTGTAGAGGAAAATACTTTTTCCCCATATTTTGAAAAGAAAGGAAAAAATATTTTTTTAAGTTCTTTAGGGAAGTGGAGAACTTCATCGGCAGAAACAGCTGCATTAACAAACAGATCTATCATTTACATGTAATAACACAACTGCAAGAGGGAATAGATGTCAGTTCCCTTGTATACAGTTTGTGTTTGCTAGTTAAAAGTACAAAATTGAGATAGGTTTCTTACCGAGCAGTCAAAACTTTCTTGCTTTGAAATGTGTGTAAATGTCTGTAAGAGAAGGTGACTTTGAATTTTGAGGTTCATATGTAAAGCAAGATGAACTGTAGTAGCACTTGCTTTCTTGTACTTCATTAAACTGAAGGACCAATTTAATTGGGTTTGTGAGCAATTAAGACTGTAGTTTCACATATACATCAAACTACCATTACCCATCATTGCTGCCAAATAAACAACCCACCAAAAAAAAAAGTTACTATTTATCTGAGTAAGTTCCTTAGCTTGATTGGCTCTCTGTGGCCTTACAAATAATTATGCTGGTGCTACTAAGTGGTGGGGGATAAGTGGACTGGCTGGTTTACACTGGTAAAGCTCTGCTTCTGCTAAAAATTTATGTGAAAGTGCAGCTTTATTTTCCAAGACTGCTTAGTGCATATCCTGTCATGCTGCAGTTGCCAGCAAAATAATAGCTATCAAACACTTACAAGGGATGCTGTCTTAAAGTTCTCAAAGCACTTTAGAAAGAAATACAATTATCTCGGTTTTGCACCTAAAGAAGTCGGAGCACGAGCTGATTTTTTTCCCCCTAGGTGGTAGACTCTAGGTCTCCTGATTCATGATTTAAGTGTCCTGTTAATTTAACCTTGATTTCTCTTAGGGGTGTTATATTTGTTTATCTCAGCTACCCACAGTGTAACCATAAAGTGAATATTGAAATACCAGATGAAATTATGGTAGAATACATAGGTGCAAAACAACTGTTTTCTCCTGAATTCCAGGCCCTTGGAACTTAATAAAAGGAATAATAACTCATGTATGGACACTTTTTTCTTCTCTCATTGGTATATGTGTGACACAAGATCAATACCAACTGTTTTATCTAGATTACCGTGCCAATGATGAGCTAGTCATTACTCCTAATTTTGACTGAATTTGAACAAGTAATCTAGATTACTAAGCCTCTAAGATACTTAGCCTTGTTGCCCTATGTTTTGGGATGAGTTTATGCTAGAGGTTTGACTTTTCTGGAGGTGGTGACTCTTTCAAGTGTTATAATGTCCTCACGCTTGGGTATCCAACGTGTTTTTTTGAAGCAGGTCTCTTGGAAAGAAAAGGAACATCCATAGCAAAACTAGTAAAATGGTCTAAATATAGTTGCTCCATTTTCCTTGGAAAGTGTTTTTGACAAAGTATTTTCAATGTGGTCTTAAATATGGCATGTTTTGAAAAATATTTTGAAAGTGGCCAAAATTAAATTGCATTTTAATTGCTCTCATGCTGTACTTTCTGCTGAATCTAGATTTCTTAATACTTTGAGCAAAACTTCACTGTTTATTATTAAAATTCACTTATATGTCTGATGATCTTTTCCTTATTCAGTGAGCACTGAAGAATTGTATGCTACCAGACTGCAGGAAAAAACTTCAATATAACTACCAAATTACATTGATTTAAGGTTTTAAACCTGTCACAGGGCAAAGAAAGCTTGTGGGTGAAGTTATAGCACCCAAGATTTAGATAGTTCCATTAGAGAAATTATATTATTTCTTAAGTGGTTCTCCAAGGAGAATGGGATTAAGTGGGTGTCCCTTGTGTTTCTTTTCACAGTCCTTATTTATGTATTACTTCAAGCTTTTGGGTTTTATTTGTATATGGGCAGCATGTGTATTTAATTAATATAATTTGCATGTATATTAGAGGGTTCTTTTTCCTATTAACTCCTTGTCGTATTCTTCTTCAATCACTGAATCATTAATTGGTTTATGGCAGTGCAAATACTGCAGAAGTGAAACGTGGATGAAGGAAGAGTGGCTTTTATGTAGACTGTGTAGAACTTAGACACCTGTTTAATTCATGGCTAATATGAGAAACTTATCTAAACACTACTTCTTTAAGAGACAAAAGATGCTTGCAGACATCTGAATCCTCAAAAATAATCCTTCAGAAAACTAGGAATCAATTTTTTATCACTTTGAGAAACAGAAACAAGAAAATAAGAACGTTTTGGTATTGCTACTGTTAGACATTGCGTTATAGTAAAGGAACAGTGTGAGTTGAGCTTTACCGTTCTTCTGGCTGCCTGTGAAGAGAAGTGCTAAAATATGTAATTTTTGTATCTTGCGCTATCTTAGTAACTGGTCTTCCTCTGTGGAGCAGTAGAGACTGCAAAAGTTTTATTTCATGATATTCTAAAGAGGCAAATGCTCTGTAACTTCTTCAGTGTTTCACCTTAGTTGCTCTATCCTTTGCCACTAGTTAGAGTGTTACAGTACTAACTAGTGCACAGCACGAATGCAGAGGTTTGAGTTCTCTGCCGACACAGGGTTCTTTCCCTGATGAGTCAGCGCCTTCAAAATGCAAACGTTTTTTATTTGTTTTTGGCAGAAAGTTCTATTTCCCTTACCAAATGTCACAGCTATGCTCTCAGTGAATTTGATGCTTGAGTTGTTAAATGGTTTTACAGTAAAAAAGTTTGATTAAATGTTGTTTCTTCCCCTCCCTGCTCTCATCTTCCCTTATATAAAATAAATTTTAAAAGTAACTATTGACAAAGACTGGAGGATTCAAGGAGAATCAAGCTAAGAGACTGTGACAGCCTTAGAAAACCAAACTCTTAAACAGGTTTAAATGGGAGATGGTACAAGAAATCATAAAGCTGTGTGTGATGAACTAGGCAAGTGTTTACCTTTTAAGTGTGTGACTGCTGAAGAATGGATACAATCATGGTAATTGTATACTTTCACTGGTGTACTTTGTACTTCTCACTTCCATCTGTTTGTGGGGCCTGATGTCAGAATTGTTGAACAGCTAGGGTGTTTGGTCCATATCCTAGTTAACTGGGTAGTGGAGTTGGCACCTTCAGCTATAAAAGCGTTGATGGAGAGAACGTGGGTGATGATGAATGGAGACAGCACCCAGCAGAGAGGGAAGGCAAAGGAAGCAGTGGTGGGATAGCACACACAGCAGTTCATACCTGCTCTGCAAAGCTTTGTCCACCATACTGAGTTCCTCTTTAGTCTGTCCACATCCTTTGCAATTCAGGACTGCTCGGACTTGAGGCACCTAAAACATTTTTTTGTGAATGGACTGTTAGAAGCCCAACACAGTTTGTAATTTAGGTTGAGTAAAAACTGCCTGAAGAAGTTGCTTAGCATGCTTTTAATAACTGTGAAGGCAGTGCTGCATGTGACCATTTCACTGCCACCAGTGCTACGTTGTGAACTTTGTCACTGCTGTACCTATAAGGGGATTTTTTTGTTTGTTTTGTTAACAGGATAGCAGTTTTGGCTTGTGACAAACTCCAGCACTACAGGACCCATGGTTTCACAGTGAAGAGCCACTGCTTTCACAAGTTCTGAAACTACCAGTGAGTCTTCCTTGAATTGTGGTGTCTGCGAGTCCTTGGTGGAGGTTGCATATATACATGTTTTCATGAAGAGAAGTGAGAAGCCAGAAGGTTATAGACAGATGAGGCCTAAGACTTTTCCTGCCAGTAACTATACTGGCAGCAGCCAGCAGATGCTACAGGAAATACGAGAGAGCCTCAGGAATTTACCTAAACCCTCAGATGCTGCTAAAGCTGATCACAGCATGGGCAAAATGTTATCTGAAGATCCTAGACAAGGCCGAAATCCCCCCAAATTTGTAACATATCATAAAGTTTTGCAGGAGATAAGAAACTCACTTCTGCCTTTTGCAAACGAAACAACCTCAGCTGTCAAAGGAACATCAGAAGTTAATCGGCAAATGCTGCAAGACTTACAAGCTGCTGGCTTTGATGAGGTGAAATATTTTATTTTCAAGATTTGATGTTCTGCTAACTATAAAGTATTAGTACATGTCGCAGGGGGTTTTGATCATGGAATGTTTGAACAACATATAATAAGCAAAATAGCTTCTTCAAAACCTGGTAGGTTTCTAATTAGTATGTAGTGAAACTGGTAATAATGGGGGATGAAGAAGAGGAATAGAAGGATTTAGAGAGGCTTGGCTTTGTGGTTTTTTTTTTTTTCTTTTTTAAGCATCTTGTACAGTTTGTTCTTATGTGGTAGGGGTAGGTTTTTTTAATTTTTTTATATCATTTTAGGCAGAGAGAACTGGACTCTAGAACATGGATTTTGCCTCTGGTACTCGATGGAATTTTGAATTGTGCTCAGTTAAAATATGTTGATAAAATAAGGCCATTCTAAATTGAAAGACAGTACCAAATATTTCAGAAGTTAATTTTAATGAGTTTTTTACATCTGTGGCTTATAGAAACTTAAACTTTGTGGAGAAAGAAATTTGGCTATCCTTACTTTATGTACTTTGTCAAGTATATATAAAATAACAAGGTACATGACAAAAGCAGGTGCAAAATGTCTTCTCTGCAGTATACTCAAGACAAAAAATGTAAAAAATGTCAAGTCTCTTGAAAATCTTGGGCATGAGTAATTATTCTGCTGTTATTTTCATTATAAGAATAGGGAACTAAATAATTGTTCAATTTATTTATTTTTCAAATTTTTGACTAAACTTATTTCCATTCATCCATTTTAATAAGTGAAAGGAGTCTGAAAAGTGGTTTCCAGGAATAAAAAATTAACACACTTGCAGCTCCTGTGTTTTTACTGGGATTTGCACATCAAAGTAAATTTAACCTGTTTTCATGCTTTCTCTGTAAACCTGACTACAAAAGCAGGTTAAAAAAAATTGCTAGCAAACCACTCATCTTTCCAAAGGAAAAAGACACAGTACCATAACAGGGATTGCCTTTACAGGAGTACACTGCTTGTAGTAGTGACCAGCTCACGAGTTCTTCTGGCTATGATGCCTCGGTATTTATGGAGAGATCTACCTCTACCAAGAGTGAGCTTCTCCAAAACTATCAGCTGACTTTTCCTCAAAAATGTCCCAGGGTCAGGTGCTGATAGTGGTTTTTCATGTTCTGTTCACTTGCTCAGATACACAGTCCAGACTCTGCTTTCAGTAAGAATGGAAGGATTTTATAATGATAAATGATTTTGTAATAATTTGCTCCTGCTCTGCAGTTGGTTGCTGAGGTTGGTTTTTTGTGGGTTTTTTTTTTTTTAAAAAGTAGATCAGTTTTCCGATCCATTTTTTACAGATTGAACCTGCAGTCATTTTTGTGAACTGAGGAATGGTATGTGGCTGGATAATAAACTAGAAAGGTACCTTAAGTTGGTATTTTTGTTGGATCCTTTGTATCCTGAAGCCTTTTGCTCCTACCCTTTGTTCTTGGATACAGCTGAGAATTCCCAGGACACTTGTGGTTATATGGAACTTTTTTCAGGCACAGTGCCAGCATAAGCTGTTTCTGCCATATGTTAACCCACAGTTGTGTTGCCACAATAGTCCATATGGCATTGGCCTATGAACACCACGAGGAACAGATAGAGCTGAAATAGGAAAGCATTTTTCTTGGTGGGGGGTATTGGAGACAGCAAGTAGGAGTGAAATGAGAATATATTTTGAGCTGGGATTGTTTCATGGACTGGATCATAGCTGGGGTGTGTTGGCCAGCTGTAAGTGGCTGATTTTTTTTTTTTTTTAATATATTGAATGTCACAAACTTTCTGTTTATTCCCCCCACCCCTCAAGCAATAGGTAGTATTCAGGGTTAAAGCTGAGCAGGCAGATAGATAACTATCAGTATCAGATAGATATATATCTCTCTATAGTGTGTATATAGATAGTGATATATATGTATAGTAATTATGGGAGAACACAGTTGTCGTGTTTGTCTTAAAAAAACAAACAAACAAAACCCACCCTAAACAGCTTACAGGAAATCTCTCTTAGTAGGATTCAAGTGCAGTCCTCATATGTTCTGTGTAAGGTGATATTCTTCAAGACATAGAATACTTCAGGTCACATAAGGTGACCAAGGTTTTTGTTTTTCAGCTAGAGGGGGGGAGAGAGATCCTTTGGCTCTTACTCAGGTCCTCTGGTTAGTGGAAAGGGGACTAAATTTCAGCTCTTAAAATGTTACTGGTTCTGTACCTTGAGATTCTCTGTGTCTTTATGGCTTCATGATGTTAACTTGTAGGTTCAGGTTTATATATAGTAGAATTACTTGGCTAAAAATACAGTAAATTTGGTTTTAAAACTGATTAAGAAGAAAATTTAATTTGATAGGTAGAAATGAATGATGGGTCCTATAAAAGTATATTCAAATTGGAAGTTAAATACTCTGGACAACTTAACTCTCTGCACAATGATCAAATAGCATACTGGTGCAGAAAATGTAGTTTGCAACAGATCAGTCTTGCCTATAATAGAAGTGTTGCAGACATAACTGTCTTGTGAAGGAGCTACGAGATCAAAAGTTGTATCTGCTTTTTCCAACAATGTCAGCTGGTCTGTAAACACTGTGACAACCTTATTATATTTTTTTTTTTTAAATCCTTTTTTAAGGTTCTTCTTTTCACCAAATTTAATTATTGTTTCTGAAGGCTGTATGTAATTTTGTATGTTTGTAGTGTTAAAAATGTGCACAGACAGGGTGAAAGTATACATGTGGGTTTGAATTTGAAATTGATGCTGACTACTTCCCTTCTGAGCCCTCTTTGATTTCCCATTGATTTTAGTAGGAGGTGAATGCTGTCATATGTGGGTAACCTGTTCAAACATAATGTGAATGGAAATGATTGCTTTGATATGACAAAGTATGGCCATAACAAATCATTGAAGACAGTGTGCTTAATTACAGGGAGTTATGCTGTGGATTTGTTTCAGACTTGTTGAGTCAGCTGCACAAATCCTGTGTAATGTAAGTGGGAGAGCAGTGCCTGACACTTAAGCATCTGAAATGCTGCTTCTGTTGCTTGACCTTGATCTCATTCAAGTCACTGGAAAAACCACTGGTCCATAATAAATTTTCCATTGACAGAGCTGGGAATGGCCATCAGATCAAAACTTGTGCTTGGATCTCTAAGAACACAGAGTCTAAATCTACCACAAAAATAATAGAATTTCTGCCAGTAATGTTGTCTTCATCAGGAAGAATTCTTAGGGAGAAACTAATGGATATTTGTTGACAAAAAGTCATGCTGAGTTGAAGGAAAATGAGCAAAAACCAAACTTCTGAATTTGACATTAGAGTATCTTTCATAGAATAACTTAGGTTGTTGGAAGGGGCCTCTGGTCATCACGTAATTAGCTGTTACCTGGGTAGCATTTATCAGTGCATATAAGCAAACTGTTTGTACGAATAGCAAAGTGGCATGATTTAAATCAGACTACAGTGCTTCAACAAGTTAACTTCTTTTCCTGAAGATCCAGACTGTATGAGTGTTTTGGAGGATCTGCTGTGGAGAAAACATTTTAAAATTAGTTTTAAATCAATTGAGAGAAATCAGTTATGTATTTTGGTAAAATTACTGAAGGATGTTTGACTAAATAACAGTGATTTTTTTGTATTTTTGCTATTTTCTTGTAATTTATTTTTTGTATGTAATTTTCTCTTTAGGATATGGTTATACAAGCTCTTAGACAAACTAACAACCGTAGTATAGAAGCTGCCATTGAATTTATAAGTAAAATGAGCTACCAGGATCCTCGTCGGGAACAGATGGTTGCAGCAGCAGCAAGACCTGTAAATGCAGGTATGAAACCACCAGGTAGGTGTGTCCATGGTAACTCAGTAACTTACTGAGTGTATTCTTATAGGTGAAAAATACAAAACAGCAAATTCCTCCTTCATGTGCTCACAGTGGAACAGAGGAGATGTTGAGATACAGTTTTTTGCTTTTAAAAATGGCATGTAAAGTATAGTGTAATTCTTCTGAAAGATATGTGTATTTGACATGAATTTCTTAAATGTTTCTTTTTTATAACTGCATGGTCTTAAGATTGTATGTAAGTATTTTATACAAGGAATGGCATTCAGATCTCATTTTAGTAACTTTTGTCCCTCGTTGGTGCGATGCCCTTATTTTGTTCTCAGTGTCAGATGCCATTTAGAAGTCAGTGGTGAGCACTGAATTCTTTTTTTAAATTTTTTGTCTCTCTTTTTCACATACTCTCCCACATAGCAGCACTACATGTGGGTGCTTCTGTGTGTGTGTGTATATATATATATTATTTGTATGTGCGTATATGTATTTATATATCATATGGCTACACAATTTGTATTTTAGGATGTCCTGTTTCAAGATCCCTCTCTCTGCTTGATTCCAGATTTTGTTTGTCTGGTTTTTAAGGCAGACTTCATGTTTTTATAGAAATTAGGGGACAGACTATAGCTTTAGTAGCAACAGAGTCAGAATTTTGCTACTTGCTATTATTGCTCTCTTAACTTATGCAAGCACATTTTTAATACGTCTTGATGGTTTGGGTTTTTTTACCAGGTTTTAGTAGCATCCACCTAAACAAATGGTAACTTTCAAATGCAGCAGAAATACTGAACTTCTGTTTGACTGAAGTTGGGTGCTGAGCTGCTGGCTCTGTCATGTTACATTTTTAAATCAACCATATAGGTATGAGGAAAAATTAGTAGTCAAGAGTAGCAAAGTACAGCCTTATTTTCATTTAGTCTGTGAAGCAGGGTTAGTCAGTGCTTGTATGAAGCTGCTAGCTAGATGCCATCATTTAGCTGTGATTTTCATTGTTACATGCAAAGATATAGTAATTAACATGTTCTTTGATGGAAGATACAGTGACTTTCAGCAGTTACAGTACTGTATGTGTTTACAAGTATCGCAGTAATAACATTGTAAAAAGCACAATAAGACTGCATGCACTAGCAGTTCCTTGTATATTAGTTTGTTTATATGATGCAAAATAACATCTGTAAAGTAAATATATTGTAGAGTTTGGGTATGTAAGTTTTACTTTCATACAGTTTTAGTTCTTGCCTCTATACAACACTTTTACCCATAAAGACATAACTTTTAAAATTAAAATACTTAATCAAATTTCACATGCAAGGAATATAACAATTTTGGATGAACTGTATGCATACAAGGGTGTAAGTGGACTGTTTGATTTTACAGCATTCAGTTAAATTTTAGTTTAAGAACACTTCATTTATTTTAAGAGTTGAACTGGAAGGAATAGCAACATGGCTAATGCTATTTTTCTGTGCAGTTGCTTTTTTTGCTTTTGTACTGAACATCTCGTCTGAGAGTTGCTTGTGTGCATGATTAAAAATACATAGTATGCCTAATAATTTTGCATGTTACCATTTTTTCAATTAAAAGTTGAGTGCATCTGTAATTGAAGCAAAATGCAGCTTCAGAAAAGTGATTTCTAAAAACTCTGATACTAGAATTTCATTGCATTTTTTTGCTCTTACACTGTGTACTGAGCATATTACCATGGCATGCTCTGTATTACTAGATAGAGATACATTTTTCATGTGAAGTACAGTGTATGATGCTATGTTGGAGAATTCCCATCCTATTTCTGGAGTAATTAATGCAGAAGAATAAAATATTCAAAGCAGTAAATAGAAATAATATCTAATAATATAAATACTGTGTTTTCTTCTTGTAAAAGCAGGGACTGTACAGCAATCAGTTAACCGCAAGCAGAGCTGGAAGGGTTCTAAGGAGTCCTTGGTTCCTCAGAGGCATGGCCCTTCCCTGGGAGATGGTGTAGTTTATCGCTCAGAAAGTCCCAGCGCTCAGCCTGATGTAGGAAGGCCATTATCTGGATCTGGCATTGCAGCATTTGCTCAGGCTCATCCTGGCAACGGACAAAGAGTGAATCCTCCGCCTCTACCACAGATAAGGAGTGTCACTCCTCCTCCTCCACCACCTCGAGGACAGACACCCCCTCCAAGGGGAACTACTCCTCCACCTCCTTCCTGGGAACCAAACTCTCAAACAAAGCGTTACTCTGGAAACATGGAATATGTGATCTCTCGTATTTCTCCAGTGCCACCAGGAGCGTGGCAGGATGGTTATCCACCTCCGCCTATGAATCCTCCACCAATAAATTCTTCCACGCAGGCTCAGAGAGGCATGAGTGCTGTCCCCATTGGCAGGCAACCAATAATCATGCAGAGTTCTGCCAACAGCAAATTTAGTTTTCCCTCAGGAAGAGCTGGGATGCAAAACGGCAATTGTCAGGCAGAATTCATCGTTCACCAGAATGTGGTGTCTGGGAACTCAGTGAGTCGCCAGCCGCCCCCATACCCCATGAATCCAACTAACAGGCAAAGCCCCACAGCACTACAGATGCAGGCAGGAGGATCTGCTCCTCCTTCAGCATACACCAATGGGAATCTTCCTCAGGCAATGATGGTGCCAAATAGAAACAGTCACAACATGGAACTTTATAATACAAATGTAGCTGGAATACCTGCGTCCTGGTCACAGCCTTCCCCTGTGCAACCGCAGTCATCACCTGGCAATGGGCATGACATGCCTACATGGCAACCCAATGTTCCTGTACGGTCAAATTCTTTCAACAGCCATCATGGAAATAGGCAGAGTCACTCGAGCAGCTCTCAGCCTTCGGCTACAACAGTAACAGCTATAACACCAGCTCCCATTCAGCAACCAGTAAAAAGCATGCGTGTGTTAAAACCAGAGCTACAGACTGCCTTGGCGCCCACTCACCCTTCCTGGATGCCACAACCAGTGCAAACTGTTCAGACCATTCCCTTCGCTGAGAGTCCCTCTACAAATATGGCAGTTATGTCTCCTGTTGCAGAGGCTCCAAATTACCAGGGTCCCCCACCACCTTATCCGAAACACTTGTTACACCAGAATCCCTCTGTCAACCTGTATGAGACAGGACCCAAGCTCAACAAGGAGGAACCACCTATTTTATCCAAGGAGGATGAGAATGAAAAGAATTATGAATGTGTTGATTCAACAGATAAAGAAAAGAAACAAATTACAACATCACCTGTTCCTGTTAGAAAAAACAAGAAGGATGAAGAAAGAAGAGAGTCTCGCATTCAAAGCTATTCCCCTCAAGCCTTTAAATTCTTCATGGAGCAGCATGTGGAGAATATACTCAAGTCACATCAGCAGCGTTTGCATCGGAAAAAACAACTAGAGAACGAAATGATGCGGGTAAACTCTTTCTTCTTTCTAAATCTATGACTAGAACTGTTCCCATATTCATTTTAAGAAATATGTCCTAATTGTAGAATGTTTAAATAGTACAGATAAGTAGAACATTGTGGTATATTGTGGTATTGAAGTCTATTTTTAGTTTTTGTTTGAGATGTGGCAAGTTCTTCATTGCTTTTTTAAGTAATTCATTGTCTTCTTAGAAATTAGTTTTTTTAAGTAAGGTTTTTGCATGTCTAAATGTAGTTCATCAGGCTTATGTATGATGAGGCAGCAGAAGCAAAATCATTGTTGCATGAACTGAGATTTAACTACATGGCTCATAGCTTTTTGTTATGGGTTCTATTTAATCCTGATCTTTGAGTGAGTTATGTGGAATATTTTAATGATTTGTTTGTTTAATATTTTTATTTTTAAAAAATAAACACTGGAGGTACAAGCAAAGCAGGGACAAGTGGTAGGCTGGTTAGCACGTTTATATAGTCACCTAAACAGTGATAGGGTTTTTTAAGTTCAAATAAAAAATCAATATTTAAAAGTTAGATTTTTAGAATGAACGGACATGGTACCTTTTGCCTAAGTATTTTATAATCCAGGCTGTAAGGGTATGTGTTTAAACAAGGGGTAATTGAATGGGGATAATAATAAAAAAAAAAAAAAATCAACAAAACAATGTAAAATCAACTTCTTTGTGCCTACATGAAGTCAGTTGTCTATTTCTGGGATTTCATTGTTCTGCTAAACCAAATGAAAAGGGTAAAAACTGGAATTGATGTATACATATGTCATTTCAAAAGAGAAAATAGTGAGAAGTAGTGAAATGAAGATTTGCAGAAATGGAAATTCAAGATGTATTAGTTATATGTTTTTCTTAACCATTGTAGTTGAAAATTTGACATAAGTATGATGTACCTTTTAATTTATTCTATGAAAGAATGTATTTGGCTTATGCCACTTGAAGTGCTGTTTTTTAAATCCGTGTTTTCTTACTCTTTGAAAATTCTTACTGTAAGCTGTAGTGTTTTATAAGTGTTTGCTTAATCACGAATATGTAAACATTAGCAAGATTTCTTCCTGGAACTCTTTCTAGATCTTTATGCTTAGTCTTCTCTCTTTCCTTTTCACTTCCACTAACAGCTGATTTAAACTGTTAAGGTGTGGGAAGCTTTCCTGAACTCTGTAGCCTCCATCCCTGTGTAGACAAGTAAGATTCTGGAGCAACAGTATTTATTAAGAATAGCATGATCCCTTTTTAGAGGGCTTTGCATGCAATCCTGCATCAAAATTAAGCATGAATTTGTTTTGACTATTTTTAAGTACTTAAATGTAAGATTATAATTAATGTTGATTTGCAAACTTCACTTTCCCTTCTTACTGTGTTGTGTTCCATAGTATCGCAAGCATAAGTATGTGAAAGCACTGATATAACTTTTCTTGATATTTTTCTTGTGCATTTAAAGCACCCTAGCAAATGTCTTATATGAAATACGATTTATAATATTTATACTAGATTTAAAGCTGGGATGTTTAATTACAGACTGAAGGGTAGAAAATGGGGTATTATGCTGCAGCAGACCTCTCCTTTTTCATTAGGGTATAGGAGAGGAATCCCACAACAGTGAAGTATATTTTGGGCCTTCATGAGAAGGAGAAAGGGAAACTAGCTCATTACTTATTTTCAGGAAGTTTAAGAGGATTAAACAAGTATTGAATCCCTTCTTTTCTCCCATTTGGTAGGAATTTCGAAAGAAAAAAAATAAATACCACCAGAATGCATCCCTACAGAAATACCTACATTCATAGGATGCAGTATTTCTAGCATCAGTGACATATTTCTATGCTATCAGGTTTCCTAGGGAATAGAGTGGAGCTGTCTCAAAAATATTTAATTTGGATGTCTGAATTTGGCCAAGAATTATGCTAGATGTCTTTGCCACAAAGAGAAACTTAAGTCATGATTTAAGGCACAGCAAGATGAGAAGGGATCAAAATGAGAGCAAGTTGTGTGATATTGTAGCACAATTCAGGAAGCTCTTGTGTCTGGCATTGACTAGAAGTAATTAGAGGTGTATGTGCATGAACATTTGTGCAGCTGACAAAGTTGGTTAATTTTTGGTAAATGCTGTAACTCAGGAGAGTTTTAGGGAAAATACAGCAATGCAGAGAGCTATCAGTTTGTGATTAACATTGATTTAGTGGATGGCGTAGGAAAAAGTGAAGATGGGTTGGGGGAAGAGATGACATTGTGGTATTTGGGCTCTTGTTTTTTACAACAAAACTGTTAGGACGCAACAGCTAGAGAGCAGGTGCTAGAAGGTAAAGCTACAATGTTTTTGGAGACTCTATTTGTATGTCTTGCAATGATTAATTACTGTATTGGGTATCACTCCTTCTAGGGTTTTGTTGCCATCTAGATTATATTCTTTGCCAGTTTTCTAACTGATCAGTGGGGTTCAGTTTGTGTGCAAGTGGGGCTGTACTGAAGCAGACCTCATGGTTCAGATGGGACTTGAAGGTGACACCCCCCACCCCCCATTGTCTGAACTTCAACAGGGCCACGCCTTCATATATCTTCTTGACATTTGTAAGTCTTCAAAAATCCCTCTTTCTGTATTGGAAGTGTGCCTTAAGCATGTTCATTCACAGAAAACTTGAGGTGTTTCTGTCCTGGAAGTCAGTGCACAGGTATTCCTGCAGTAATGTGTTGAGAAAGGTTCAACTCGCTTCTCTGAGTCAAGAAATTGTCTATTTCCCACATCCAGTCTTGAAACTACTGCTACCCAATCCTAACTACTGCCTGTCTGATGTCTACAAAAATTTTTGTCTCGAATTTGAAACAGCCTTCCCCATTTATATCTTACTGAATTGATATTGCTTGTGAAGTTTGTTTGGGTAGACACGCATTTTGTATGCATTTTCCTAATTGCATCTCCTTTGGATCCATTTTTGTTATGATGCCTGTAAGAAATTTTTCTAACAGTATTTTCTTTAATAGGTGACATACAGTATCCTGAAAGCACTTTTAAGATACTGAATGATATTTAATTGATCTTTTATCTCACCTTTTTCCTCAGTCACATCTATTATATTTTGTTTCAAGTTATGTTGTAACTTACACAAAGCAGAAGTCATCTATTAACACGCAGTTTATACAGGCCTAGACTAGTGGTTACCTAATCCTGATGGTGGTCCTGAGTACTGTTATGCAGACAGTATCTTAAGTGTTTGAAGCATTAATGAGATGGAAGCAGCAAGATTTGGTATCAAGAATCAATAAGATGTGACAGTAAGAAATTGAAAACTTCTAGAATAGTTCTTCAGTAACAATTGTGATGTTTGCAGGGATTCAGTTTGGCCATGTTCAATTTTATTTCATGATCAGAACATCCAGGAAAAAATAAGGCAATATACTATAGGTTGAACTTGGAAATCATTGCTGTAGGATGGTGATCTCAAGCCCGGTAGGCAGATAAAATAATTGAGATGCTATGAAAAAAGGAGCATATAAGATTTTGAAAATGCTGACAGAAAACAAAAGAAGGAATGAACATCAAGCTATGTGAGGGTAGTGTCACAAAGAAGAGAATATAAAAAATGGAAGAAAGATTCTGCTCACATTAAAACCAAAAGAAGGGATATTTTGATTCCAGGGCCTGAAATTTGCCAAGAAAAATGGCACTGGAATTGAATGGCACTTTAAATGAATTGAAGCCAGCAAAAACACACTAGGAGGCACCCATGTTGGAATATGACGAGAATGCTCAGTGTGGTTCTTATCTATAAGGGTTTCCACACTGTAGGCGATGAGTTACATGTAGCCTGTGTTTCAGCTGTCAGAATGTTAGCAGTGTTGGCCAGAACACCAGGGATGTTCATTCAAGATAGGGTTATGTATGCAGGTGGGAGCCAAGAACTGATACTGTGGGGAGGAGTAGGCCACTTCAAAGAAACTGCCCTGCTCAACTAGTTTGTGTGTAGAGTGGAGAGCGATAGAGTGTGACTGAAGTCCTGTTAGAAGGAGGTGGATTATGTGATAAGAGGGAAGATCAGGTCTTGGTTTGTGGCAGAGGCACGTGCTTGGTGTGGGTGGACAGTAGGAAACGGTGCCATATGGATCTGGTTTGTGTAGCTACACAGGAAAGCACGAGAGTGAGAGAGTCACATACTCCCTCCTGCAACTGAAATTCCACTGACATGTTCGGGAAGTTTAGTGACTTCTGCTCTAGGTAGTCTAGAGAGTGGAAGCCTTTCCCACAGCAGCTCCTTAGTTAGCCCTCAGCGACTTACTGCTGCTAAGCACGTCTTGGCTTCCTTTAGCACTGCAAAGAGAATCAGGGAGGCAGTTGATGCACACTGTTACTCAGATAAGTATTATTTGCAGTGGTTTTTATCAGTAGTTTGTAAATTGCCCTTTCTGTGCTCGAGAACATACTTCCTTCTCAAGAACTTTCTGGTGCATGGCACCTCATGCATTTTGCTGTTGCAAGTGATCACGTTTTGTTTTGTATCACTCCTATATGTTTTCATAGAATCCTAATGTGTAAATTAAAACAAAACAAAACAAAAACCCTTTAAGTATTATTTCCCATGCTGTATCTAAGTATTTGGTTTGCTTTACCTAAGCCTTGTAATTACAAGAAGATCACCAAGAATTAAGAGTACTGTTCACTATTCAGATTTAATTCTGTTTGCTGCACAGGTTGGATTGTCACCAGAGGCCCGAGATCAAATGAGGAAAATGTTATGCCAGAAGGAGTCTAATTATATTCGGCTAAGAAGAGCTAAAATGGACAAGTCGATGTTTGTAAAAATTAAAACCCTGGGAGTTGGTGCATTTGGAGAAGTTTGCCTAGCAAGAAAAGTGGATACTAATGCTTTATATGCAACAAAAACTCTGAGGAAAAAAGATGTCTTGCTTAGAAATCAAGTTGCTCATGTTAAAGCTGAACGGGATATCCTTGCAGAAGCTGACAATGAATGGGTGGTTCGTCTGTACTATTCATTCCAAGATAAGGACAATTTGTACTTTGTAATGGACTACATTCCAGGAGGTGATATGATGAGTCTCCTTATTAGAATGGGTGTCTTTCCAGAAAATCTGGCACGGTTCTACACAGCAGAACTGACCTGCGCAGTTGAAAGTGTTCATAAAATGGGCTTCATCCACAGAGATATTAAACCTGATAATATCTTGATAGACCGCGATGGTCATATTAAATTGACTGACTTCGGGCTCTGTACAGGTTTTCGATGGACCCACGATTCAAAATACTATCAGAGTGGTAAGAGAAACATAAAAGGTTTCTTCGTTATTTTGTTGATGTGTCATTCTTTGCAAGCAATTAAATAATAAATGAGTAGAAAGATGACTGTGCTGTTTCCTTTCTGAATAATAATGCATCTAACAGTGTCTGCACACCACTCAAATTATAGAAAACAGTGTTTAGTTAGGGTGAGTTTGTAAGCATGGGTATTGATTCCTTAAGGGAGAAGGAATGAGCTATGCTGCTGTAAGTTTGTCCCATTAGTGGCTTCTGAAATTTGGAGGCAAAAGGTCAGAGTGGTAGCAAGACAATTACACAGACAACAGCCCTAACTCTGTTTTGAAGATAGGACTGATGTTTTAAATGTAATTGTTCTTGAAAACCTTGCCTCAAGTTCTGACTGTCTCATGTACTTCCTTTTACTGTAACTTATTGATTTCTGAGAAAGGATTAAGTAGGCTTTTAAAAATCCTACTTGATTATTTATAACAACAGCTAAAAAAAAATGTTAGGGGAAATACAATTTCACAGTTCTGAGAATGGTAAAATACAGAATTTGCAATAATCTATTTTTAATTTTCAAAAATAAGTGTACCTTAAAAAACAATTTTATATTACTTTTGTCTTATTTTTATCAAAACATCATGTATCTTAGGCCAGACTGTTACACAGTCTCTGGAGAGAAGTTGGTTTAAAATTTGGTTTTATTTTTTGATGCTTTAAATATTGGGTTTTTTTCTGTTTACATATGAGCAAGAACAATATAAACTCTGTACCCCCAGTGTGGTTATGTTAAGGAAAAACTGAGAAAAGATCAAACTCAATGTCAAAAATTAACTTAAAAAAAACAGTGTCCTCAAAAGTTGGTATTTTATGTCATAAGCAAAAAGTCAAAATCGTGATGTTGATGACTGTTTTAGCTCTCAAATTGAGTGTTGAAACAGATTCTGTCTTATTACAAGAAATGTTAACAGGTGAAGAAAATTTCATACTAGATAAGAGCTAAAATAATCTTCAATTTTGGCATCTTTCTCACTCAATTATAGGTGATCATGCACGTCAAGACAGTATGGATTTCAGCAATGAGTGGGGCGACCCAGCAAATTGCAGGTGTGGAGATCGGCTGAAGCCACTTGAACGTAGGGCTGCACGTCAGCATCAGCGCTGTCTGGCCCATTCCCTTGTTGGCACACCCAATTATATTGCGCCAGAAGTATTGTTACGAACAGGTAATGCATTTTTGTACTGTCCTCTCACTGCAAAGTAACTGATACTCAGGTAGCTTGCTTCACATTTCTTGCACTACCGCTTTCTTGTACTGCCCAAGTATATAATATTTTGACAAAAATAGTTATTAATATGGAAATCTTAATCAAGTTTTGAATAGAATTCTCTTGTGAACCTTTTTTATTCTTAGCAATACAAGGTTAAAATTACACTAAGGCTTTGACTACCTTGTTTTGACTTCATTTCAGGTTACACACAGTTGTGTGACTGGTGGAGTGTTGGAGTAATTCTCTTTGAAATGTTAGTGGGGCAGCCTCCCTTCCTGGCACAAACACCGCTGGAAACACAAATGAAGGTAACTTTAAAAGTCTAGTATTAGCAGTCTGAAAAAGCAGGCTTGAAATTTACATGGTCTTTCTAATTTGTAATGGAATCAAAGGTGATTTTTGAGAGTGCTGCTCTATCCCAGCATGTCACAAACTAACAACATTTTAAACTTTATGTTACTGTGGTGGTACACTTAATTTGTAAAGGGACTTCAAGGATCACATTCATATCTTTTGTCTGGTCATACAGTAAACATGCCAGCTAAAACTTATGTTTCAGATCTCAGTTGTTCCCTTTCACTTATTGCACCTGTTCCAGTTGTTATTTCCACTTTTTCTTCTTCTCCTCTTCCAGCATCTGGGTGTTCTTTTCCCACCACTTGGCTTCCATGCCTGCTCACCTGCAGAGGATTTCCTTTGGTGATGTATCTGCAGGTGCTCAGCATGCAGAGGTGGAGGAGCAGCAGATAACTGTGGCTGCTCAGGGTTACTGGCAGCTCAGAGCCATGAGTTGCTTCTTTCCTGAGCTCCACCTGTTTCAGAGAAACCATGAGGGCAGTCTTCTGCAGGTGCCATTTTCACAAAACTGCATTCAGCTTGCAAGATATTAGTTGGCTCAAATGTAGTGCAGTATTGATTTTTTTTTTTTTAAACTTTAAATCTGTTAATCTTTCCAGTGGATCAAATAAATCAAAATTCAATAGCCTCACCTTCTTTTTAAGATTGTAAGCCATGTGCTTAATCTCAGGTTCCAGGTGCTGGATTTTATGGTATCTTTGTTGGTTTATAGCAGGGGTATTCTGTGCCAGACTATTCATGTTCCAAATTTAAACTAAACTTTATCTGGATTTTGCCAGATTTCCAGATAAAATATTCCTTGTGTTTCTGAAAGAGCAAAATATTCCTTGTGTTTGCCCTCTCTAGTGTGAAAACACTTAGAGGTGTTGAATGATTGCATTGTGGCTGTTTGTTGTTTTTGTTTTGTTGTTTTAATTTTCACTGTGTTTTTTCCTTTTTATGAAATTGTAAATAGAATAACACGTCTTTTTGCTTTAAAGGTTATCAACTGGCAGACTGCACTTCATATTCCACCTCAAGCTAAACTGACTCCAGAGGCCTCTGACCTTATTATAAAACTCTGCCGAGGGCCAGAAGATCGTTTAGGCAAAAATGGTGCAGATGAAATAAAAGCTCATCCATTTTTTAAAACAATTGATTTTTCAAGCGATCTACGGCGGCAGTCTGCTTTCTACATTCCCAAAATTGCTCATCCTACAGACACGTCAAACTTTGATCCAGTTGATCCAGATAAATTGTGGAGTGATGATGATAAGGAAGGCAATAGAAATGATACACTTAATGGGTGGTACAAAAATGGAAAACATCCTGAACATGCTTTTTATGAATTCACCTTCCGAAGGTTTTTTGATGACAATGGCTACCCATATAACAATCCAAAGCCCATTGAGTATGAGTATGGTAGCTCCCAAAACTCAGAACAGCAGTCAGATGATGATGATGATGATGATGATGAACAGGCAGGTAGAGGAGTTCAAAATCGTGACCTGGTTTATGTTTAATAGAGGAATAAAGATTAAAAACTAAATAAACTTATTTTGCAGCTGCAGTTTTTGAAAAGTCTCTTAAGAGAATTGAGGGAAGATTGTTAGGGTAAATACAGGAAAGCTTTTTTTCTTTTTTTTTTAAACACTAAAAAAATTGTGTCTTCTCGTTCGCTCTCTGTACATTTTGTTTCCCCAGAATAGAGGGAAATCGTTCTCAAATATTAATTTATTCAGCGTTGTTAATTGTTTAATTTAGAAGAGATTTGATGTTAGGTGAAAAAAAATATCACTTGAATTTTATTATTGGTTCTGTGTACTCTAAGTACTCAAAATAGGAAATAGTGGTTTTCTTTTCTTTTTTTTTTTCTTTTTTTTTTTTCCTAAGATGATGCCTGGTATCTATTTGTACATATAGTGAATAATTTTAGAAAACAAATCTCTGCTTCAGAATTTTTAATGACAGTTTTTCCTTACATTGACCAAATATAAAACTTACTTTACACTAATAAAGCTCTCTGATACATTTCGTGGGGGGGAAGGCTGCTGTACCCTCACTTCTTGCTGTATTTAGCCTAATTATTCACAGTGTTGGAAAAACTGAGCCATCTATCTGGTGAAATGTTTCCAGCTCTTGTGGTAGTGGCATAGTTCTCAGCTTTGGAACAAGAAAGGTCAGTCTTGGCTATAGTATGATAAAGCATTAGAACTAGTATTTTATTAAATAGTAATTGAATTTGACATAGTAATGCTGTAGCATGTGACTGGTACTCCCAAAGCAGGACTGCTCACTCAGAAACAACTTGATTGTCTCCTGTCATCAGTTCTCATATAGTTATGAGAAGAAAAGAAGCTTTAGGAAAAACACTTCCTGAAATCTAGTTTAATTTTCTGACTGCAACCAAACTGTAAAGTGTGTACAGTTCTGCTTTAGTTGGAGTTTTTAGTTTGAAAAATAAATTTTAGAAGTTTCTTTATTATATGTTTGAGATAGTAATGGGAAAAGACTATAAATTACAGCTTTTGAGGCTGTTGTTGTGGAGACCAGTTTCACTTGGCTTTAACAATTTTCCTCCTAGTTACAGACAGTGAGGAGAAATGACGTGCACCAGTCCGAGCCATCAGTGCAGTTTCAGTGGTCCGTCTTTCATAGTCCAATTCAGAACAGAATTAGGAACTTACAGCTGTGTCTGCTGCCTTCTGCATTACTGTTTTCATAATTTCCCACAGCAGGTGAGCAGGCATCCCCTTGGGTCTCATGATGGGAGGGTACTGCGCCTGTTGAGGTTATTGGGAGCAGAGAGGGGGGGGCAGCCCTCTAAGCAGCTTCCCTGAGATAAGGCCAGGAGTTACAGGTGAGAGGCAGAAAGAATTACGTTTTTATCTCTCTCCTCCTTTCTCCTGAACCTAACACAGTGGTAAAGAAAATGCACTATTTTTAGTGAACAACTTGTCTTTTAAAACATTTCCTCCTCCTTGGAATTGAATTCCAGTGGATAATCTAATAATAATGTGCCTGTAAGCATTACTGCTTTCTTAAATTATTATTTATGCCATTGCACTGGCATTGTGACTATCTAAATGTCATGAAATTGGTGTTCATAGCTGTTCTTGCAGCAAACACCAGTTACTAGTTTACTTTTCTCACCAAGCTGGCTTAAGAAATTCTTGTGCTCTTCCAGCCATTCGTTCCCTTTCTGTGCTCCAGTTCAGCATCTCTGTGCCAGTGCAACTGTCTGTAGTACTGTGCTAAATACTGGATCAGTGAAAAAGCTGCTTGGTGTTTAGCGTTTGGAGGTTTCTTTCTTGTAAGTGTGTTCGAGTGATCCTGTTTCCAGTGTGGTCCAAAAAATTACTTATATTGGCATAACTGAGGAAGGAGTGAACTGCAGTAAAGAAGGTTGGCAGCGGGGAGACTTCTTAAACTGACTTGGACACAGGAGAAAACACTTGTGGAAGTTCTACCCTCTACTGTGAAGTGCTTATCATGGTTAGAAAATGGTTACGAAAAATTGTTTTCTTTTCTCAAGCAGGTAGTTAGTTACTTTCTATAATGAAAATGGGCTTGTAGCTTAATGAAACAATTAATGTTGTCTGCTTGTTCCACAGCTGTTGAAATAGAATAGTTTTTAAGATTCGTTTCATTTAGCTTAAATATTATAAAATGGCTGCAGTGTATAACTACTCCATTTTATATATTATGTAAAAAAGATTGTTTTCCATGTAAATAAACTTTAAAGATTATCCTCCGTCATAGTAAGTACCCAGTAAAACTGGTCTACTTGTCTTGGAGTAAAGTATAATATATTACTGGTTAAAGGTAATTTAATCAAGCCTGCCTTACCATTTGTGAAACGTGCAGAGAAAATAATGTCAATTCTTCATTAAATTGACTGTTAAAATTGCCTTTTTATCTGAGTATATTTCTCCTCTGCCTGCGTTTGTATTATGGTATATTCCTGTTTAACACTATAACTTGTCTTTAGCCAATGTGTTTTGAGAAGAAAAAAAAAAAAAAGGAAAAAAAAGGGTCCTGAAAAGGCACCACGGTTCTATACAAGCAAAACTAATTGCTTTTATTAAAGGAAATTATTGAGTCTTTTAAGGACATGCGCAAGAACTGAAATATTAAATACTATTTTACCATTTTTAAACAAATATAGGAAGAGCTCACATCTTTAGAATTTGGTAGATGCTTCTGGTATTCTCTGTTATCTTGTGTTAGAAGTTTGTAATATATCTTGTTTGAATTTTGCCGCCTATGTGCTGCAGTATTATATATTTCCTTGCAAAAATGCAGTGTGTTACAGTACAAGTTCTCTGAGAATACATAAATGTTGTCACAACTCTCCAACATGCTATGCCTTACCCATGTTTTGAAACTTCACGTTTCATACGTAGATTCAGAGTCTATTGAGATTCTTCATAGCTGCTGCTTAAAACATGGGTGTTTCACTGGTGACCTATGATGGGGATTGCTTTGTACAGGCAGTTGAGAAGAGAGGCTCCTAACCAGCAGCTTGTGGAATTCTGCAGTAAGTTTTAATTCAGGTTACTTTCACTTTGTAAAGCATGAAAACAAATTTCTTTTGTGTGCCCTTGTATACATATTAATTGTATTTATAAAATGTTCTATAATCGTATAACTGTACTGTAAATACTATTTGATATTCAGTGGCATTCTATCCTAGGGCAGGCCCTCTTGCTGTATCTTTTCTATCCTCAATTTGTAATAGAATCTATAGAATATATGGCTAGAAAGTCTCTTTGAGACTGACCTATCTTCTGCTGTTGCAAAGCTGTGAGTGGGAATGATTTCTTTAGACTCCTTTTAATATTATTCAGCTAATAGGCAGTGCAGTGGGTGGGTTCTTAGATGATGCTGCTGTCACCCAAGATACTATTAGGCTTTGGTTTCAGATGTCTTTGGTGTTTCAGATCAGACCTTTAATCTGTTTGCTTTAATTCAGCCAAAGCAAAAAGATAATAAATTGGATCAATGTTGTAGTAAGATGTTTGAATGCCTTAAGATGCTCTTGATAAAGGCACTATTCAAGTTTACTGATTTATCTATATAGATATATATAGATATATTCCACATGTGTATATGTATATATAATGTCTTTTTTGTATTATAAATATCCTTCTGCCTGTCAGTTCTTTTGGATCCTCCAATTAAATACATAGACCACCGCACAATTCCGCTTAAGCAAGTTATTCATTTATTACGTGCCTAGTTACTAAACTTGTCAATCTTGCATTATCTCACAGTCATAGTAAGTTACTCACCACATGCGTGGTATGTGATCTCTGAATGCTTACTGGTATGCTTGGGTTTTATAGGGTTACATGGTGGTGGCTTGGACCATGATCTCCAAGTCAGTCCCCTGACATTCGTATGAAAAGAACACGCACCTTTTTATCCTGACTTTTCCAGCGGGTACCCCTTTGTGCAGGAGGCCCAGAGGTCCTGCTTGCCTGTCTGTACCCGACAGCTGAGGAGCTGAGGCTTCCTTGCCCCTGCTGACGGAACTGTTAGCACAGTGTGCGTCTTGGACCTGGGGGGATGTGAGTGGATGGTTGCATTGACACTTATTTAAGTTACTTCAGAATACAAGAAGGAATTCCAGCAGTTGTGAACAGCCTAACTGAATTAGCAGCTACTGGTAATCAGTGACATTGCTGAGGTTTACAAACTGTTTTCTCAGAATCGGTTTCTGTAGCCTAATGCCTGCTGAGATAATAAAAAACACAATGAATCTTTGTAAGCAGTGAAAATAAAATTCTTGTTTGGGCTAATCAAATATGAAATGTAAACATTAGTTGCCCAAATGCATTTATTTTTCTTTCCTTCTCCTTCACTCCCCTGAGTCCCCTTTATGCTGCAACAGCTCTACTTGATTAAGGAAAAAATTGCATATGTTTTAATAGCAAAAATATCGTTGAACTTAGCTGTCATCTCACATTTGTAACCTGTCCTCAAAAGTATATATTTTGGTGTTCAAGAGTTCAATTTATTGGTGCTCTTTCCCTGACCTCTGCTGCCTCTTTCATCAAAATAATTAAATCTTAGTTGTTTATTATGCATACATTATGTGTCATAAAGCTATTCATTTTCTTAAGAGCGATATGGTATCTCGCAGCTTTCAGGTTTATTAGGGAAAATCGTCTTTGAGAAAGTCCCCTTCTTGAAGCGCCCATCTCAAACTGCTGGCGCAGAAACCAGTGCCTTATCCCAGAGGCTATGTCGATCCTAATTCGTCTACCTTTGGGTTGAGGGGGGGGTGGAAGTACGGCATCCATTAGCCACCTGCAAAGGGAAGAAGGGTGATCCATTTTGGGATTCTCAACCGCCGCCGCGGGGGGCCCGCCCCGCCGCGACCGTTTGAAAGCCCGCGGCGGCGCAGGCGCAGTCCGCTCCTGTCACCTTCAACCGAAGGAGGCGGGAAGACCTTATTGTACAGGCATTGGTGGTTCAGTGGTAGAATTCTCGCCTGCCACGCGGGAGGCCCGGGTTCGATTCCCGGCCAATGCAGGTGACTTTTTTTTTTTTTAATTATTATTCCCCACTTAAAAATAAAAAAAAATAATAAAAAGCTCGTCGCGGTCAGTAATAATGCTCAAACAGCCACCAACGTGTTGTCGGCCCGTCTGAGGCGGACCTTTACCCACACCGCCGCCTCGCCGGGCTGGAAGTGACGCAGCCGGATTTGCCTTCAAACTGCCGGCGGCGGCGGGAGGAGGAGGAGGAGGCAACGGCGGCGGCGGGCAGGGCCGGGGGTGGGCTTAGCGCGGCTGGAGGAGGAAGAAGCGGAGGGGTCGCTGCTGGGAGCTGCTGCCGCCGTGGGGGCCGAGCTGTGGAGCGGAGTAAGTGAGCGAGAGAGACCCGCCGCGGTTTCCTTCCTCGTGGCGGCCTGGTTGTCCGCCCCCGGCCGCCGCTGTGGCCGGTGCGGGGCGGCCGCCCCCGCCCCCCGCCTCCCGGGGGCCATGCGCTGCCCCGGCTCGGCCTGAGGCGAGGGGCTGCCCGCCGGAGGCGAGGGGCGACGCCCGCTCCCCGCCTGGCCCGGGCCGCCCTGAGGGAAGCCGGGCACCTCACCGCCCCGGCGGGAGGAGGGTTTCGGCTCCTCCGTCCCGCGGCCCAGGGGCCGGGCGGTGCTCCGGTGAGCGAGTCGCTGCCGTCGTTGCTGTCGTGACACCCGTGACCATTACACCGTGCTCGTCGGTCTTACGACACTGCTGTAGCTTACACGTGCTCGGAGCCGCACGGGGCATCGCCGGGGCGTCCCTAAAGTCGTCGACAGGCGACTGCCTGCAGGTGCGCGGCAGCTCAGCACCCTGCCCCCGGGCAGTCGGGCGAGGTGGGGTGCTCTGTTACCGCACCGGTGGCACTCGTTCAAACTCTGAGCTTTGGTTCGTACTTCTCCATCCCCATCCACCTGTTTTGGGGTTTTTTTTTTTCCTTAACGAAGTAAGGTTTTTGCAATTATTCTAGTTTTCTCTCCAGAGAGAAGCAGCAGGCATCAATTCCAGATACCTATTCTGCTGTAGACCCCTTCTAAATTTTCTGAGAAATTTTCTAATTTAATATTGACCATCTAAAAGAATGCCAGCTCCCATGAAATGGGGAGTAAGTAATATGATTATTTTTTTTAAGTCTTTTGAAAGGCTTAGCCTTGAAAACATAAAGCCATCTGCCAACAGGGTATCTCTATCTAATGATTTTTTTTTTTTTTTTTTTTGCACAAACAGCTAAGTATGCTTATGTTTGTGGTTGCTGGTCGTTTTTCTTTCACTACCGTTACTGTTAAATAAAATAAGTGTATGAGAACTAGTTTGTTTAGTATCCAGTAAGTCTGGCAACTCTTCTGTTTCCCAAGTAATTAACACAATCGCTTGTTGATACCAAATGTTGCTAGGAGCGGATGTTATGAAGAAGAGTATTAAAGCTGGAAGGGAGCTCTGAGGTGATGTAGACCACCATGTCATCAGTAAAAACTGATTCCTGAAAGCGATTACTTTGTGGTTTGGGGTTTTTTTTTTTCTCTTCTGGCTTCCTGAGAGAACTTTCTGAATTTTATGGTTGCTTTGATGTCAGAGCCTGTATAGCAGGCTGAAATAATGGAAACATGTACGCTCTGCCAAAATTCAGGCTCTGGCTTAGTCCGAACATTAAGGCTGGACTGAAGGACTCTTAGGATGTATTTTCTTTGTACAGCTTGTGCTGTTCTCTGAGTCAGCAGAGTAGCTGATGGGTTCCCCATAGTAACTGATAGACCCTGACTTTAATCTTCTCTCCTAATATCTGCATATCGATCTCTTCTTTCATTTTTTAAAGTTGTGTGGGATTTCTTTGTGAAACAGGATTGGTACTGTGTTCAGCTTCAGCTTCCCAAATTCTAATGTATGAATGTGAGCAGAAATTACTTATAGTCATTCCTTATGATAATTCCTTAAAGTCATTGTGGAAAACATGATGTATCCCCAGTGTTTTCTTGATGATGGTCAGGCTGTTATCTTTAAAATAAAATATAAAAATAAGTTCCAAAACCTCATTTTCAAAAGCTGTAGCTGTCTTGAACCTTTGTTAGGTTTCAGCCCCCACTGCTCTGGGCTGTTCCAACTCTAGAAGTATTTTAGATGCTTGGAGCAAATGATAAAATGTATTCTCTTACTAGAGATGGGTTAATTTGATGGTTTCTGTTGTGTGAATTTCAGGGAACCATATATACTCACAGCTAGTATAGAGAGTGAGTATTCTTATTGTGAAGCGTGTGTTTCTACACAGTGTAGAATTAAACCTGCAAGACAAAATGCTTAGGTTACTTTCCTTATATCCTGTAAACTTTACGAGCTCATTACTGTTTCAGTTGCTGTTGGAACATAGATAACTTCATTGGGCATGATTCACGGAAAGGTCATAGCTGATAAGTGCAGCCTTGCTGCTTTGACATCCTGTTATGTGATAGTACTAGGTATTTGTAAACACTTTAAAAATTCTTAAGTGGTGCAGGATTAGTTTTGTGTTTGTTTTTTTTAATTGCTTCAGGTCTGGTTTAACTCTGGATTTGTGCATACTCACACCTGTCCCTTATGTATCTTATCCCCTACTCTGAGCTGCCACAGTCTGCTATGGCTTTCTGCTGCAAACTTTAATCTGGTTTCAGATTAGTACTCTAACTCAGTTTTTAGCCCTGTCTTAGAATTGCTTCAGCATCTTCAGTTACAGGTGCAGTAAGCCTATAGAGTCACATTAGTGTGCCAGCTCTGATACTGCCTGTATTCAAGTGGCAGCAGCAGTGACATGCCCAGACATAAGCAGAGCCAGCAGCTTTTTCTGCCCCACTTGTACACAAGAGCCTTGTATTTGGAAGCCACTTCAAGCTCTTCTGCTCTTGTGACTCAACTTGAAGCAACAAATTAAAGTGGTTTTCTAGTTTAAACTAAATTCTCTTGCATTTTCAGTACCACTGATGAAATGGATACGTTCCTGGGTTTTCATTGGAATTACTACTTTTGGTTATGTTGGAAGCATTATAAACTTAAGTAAGCATGTTCCCTCCCCTGCCATAGGAGATGTTAATTCATTCTTCTTATGTGTCTGTTTCTCCTTTCTGTCCTTCCTTTCTCTGTCTTCTCTCACCTGAAAATCACATTTACTCTTTTGTTATGTGCAATACTGTCATTTTGGTCCCAAGCTTTCATATCTTTATGACTTAGCCTTTTTAGGTTTTGGGGTGTTTTTTTTGATTCTTGCTATTTTCACATTTCCAGTTGAAAACTACTCTTACAAGCTTTTTTTTTTTCCCCTGGATATTTAAACAGAATTGCTGTTCTGCTTGGATCGCTCTACAGCATTCAATGTAAAAAAAGTTATCTATGACTTCTCTCTGTGTTTGAAAGTCTAGTTTGGGTTTAGTAACTTGCTATTACTTGATTTTTAAAATGTTTATTAGCATCTTGCTCAACTTGTGATTTCAGTAGTGTTAGTCATCAGTTTGAATTCTCAGGACAGGCAAACAGGTGTATCTGGTAGGATGAGCAGGAGTGGAAAAGCTTGCTCCTAAATATAGCAGGGAAAACTTTGGTAATATCTGTGTGATGATCCATACAGCAGTTGACAAACACCTTCAGGCTCTTGCTCCTGAGGTAAAAACCAACAAAACTCCCAAGTCAAACTGTGTCTCCAAAGCCTAATTAGCCTGGGATATGGTAGTCTTTGTAGTTGCTGGTCACATTAACTATATCAGCTTGTAGACATCATGGCCAGCTCAGCAAGTCTCTGGCCAGAGTGAGATTATATAGCGTAGGTTCTTACGATGGCAGGTTTCCAGAGTCAGCCCCACGGGTCCCTTCTGCGTGGATGGGTGCGGGCTGTCAGAGGCCTTTCTTCAGCTCCACTGCTGCCAGAGTTTTGCTGATTGGGCTGGATCTTTTCACAGCAGCTATCTGCTTCAAGGGAAACTGGGGAAAGAAGGGGAAGGAAGCAAAAAGAAGAGGGTGTTGTCTCAGGAATGGATCAGCTGTGTGTCTGTGCATAAAGCTACTTGGGAAGGGGACAGAAAAAGGAGCAGAAGTCTTAAAATGTTTGATTTGTACTTAGCAGCTCCTCTTTACAATGGGGAGCTAATGTTTCAGCAGTACATTGTCTGGTGTGTGCAAAGTGTGGCTTCTGAAACCTCTGATAATGTGTCTGAATCTGACCCTGACCTGGTCTTGAAATGTGTCCAGTCTTAAATCTGTTTATTGCGCATGTGAGTTTAGTACCTCTTATATTCTTTAAATAGTTGATCTGTATCAAGTATGCTTCATCCCAGGGCTTAGGCGTAATTGCTTGTCTGCAATTGCATCTTACTGGTAGTGGGTACAGGTACTGAAATAAGAGCAAGACAACTCTCTTGCAGGCATGTTTATTTGCTTACTTTAATGTTTTCTGTGCTTGGTTCTAGGAAATTAGGAGGAGAGTGGGGAAGTTCTTGGTGTGCAAGAGACAGGAAAAGAGGACACGGTGCAGGTATCTTAGACAAGAAGGGGATGGGATGTATAAGTAATGGATAAGAACACAGGATGACTGCTCTGTGGACAGTGGTGACTGTAAGGAATAAGTCTACTGCTTCTACTTATTACTGTATTTGTATAAATAATAGTTCTGTGCTATTCTAATCTAAAAGCACAGATTCTGCTAAGGCTGCAAAGTGGAAGTGGTCACAGTCCATGATGTTTGCTCCAAAAAAAACCAACAAAAAAACCAAAACCAAAAAACCCACTGTTGGGGAAAAGTAGCATGGTTTGAACAATATGTTAAATAGAGTGGGTAGCTACACACTAAATGTCTAATTCTGGCCTTTCCTTACCTCTCAGTGATAACTTAGCAGCCTCAACATTTTTCAAGTTTCTTTTTAAGTGTAAAAATTAGGGTGAAAGGAAGGTGAAAGCTAGGCATGGAAGGAGGATATTTGTTTCAAAGAAACACTAAATAAAACTGAAGAGTTGTAAAATCAAACAAATGGAAAAATGGTGTTCTCCACAAGGCAAAATCAGACTGTTAAACTTTTATGTGTGGAATAAGGCAAAAAAATTAACAGAAGTTAATGCATCTGGCAGGGCTTTCGTTTATTGTTTGTTGGAAGTTGTTTTTTTTTTTCAAACCACAGGCCATTATAGTATGGATGATGTTCTAGTGCTAGCAGTAAAATACCAATTTATCTTACAATATGATAAAGAGGGAAGGAGAGTGTGCAATTGTGGCTTGCAACAGTGCATTTAAATCTGCCTATCTTGTATATGCTTTTCAACAGAATCTTCATCACATGAAATAATTCTATGAAGTGAAGAGTTTAATTTGTAGTAATAGAGAAACAGTTATCTTTTTGTATGGATGACATTTGTTCTAGGACCTTCTTCTAACGAGTATATTTCTAGCTTCTATATTTTGATATGCCAAATGAGGTAATGAGCATATGAAAATAGTTGCAAAAATTTGTTCTCGTCCTGGGATTATTTTTGTTTTCCTTAATATTTCCTATTTTTTTCAGCTTCATGCTGAACATGAGCCTTGTTATGATCAGTGAGAATGTAAAGCTGGCCCGTGAATATGCCTTACTGGGAAATTATGACTCTGCGATGGTCTACTACCAGGGAGTTCTTGACCAAATGAATAAGTACCTCTACTCTGTCAGAGATACATACCTGCAACAGAAATGGCAACAGGTAAATAGTACTTTTCTGGGACATTTTGAGGGAAAAGCATTGAAGTGGCGAAAATTGCCTATCTTATGGTAAACAAAAGTATAAAAATACTTACACCATTCTCTGATAAACTGCAGAGCTGTTATATATAGGTGCTTTTTTATTATATAGGCTTAAATAAGTCTTCTTTATGACTTCTGGCTCTGACAAGGACAAAACAGGCAATGGAGCACAGCCCTGGGGAGCCAGTGCACTGTCTGGCTTGTCAGCTCCTTGCCGATGAGAGACCCTGTTATGCTGAAGTTTTTTAGGCTGGTATTGTTTTGAATGGTCTTATTTCCCTCTCAAAGTTTTAGTAGTGTGACTTAGATCCTTAATAGAAACTGAGTTGTGGCTACCACGTTAATTTATCCTTAACACAAACCATCATTTTTTTTCATTGACATTCAATCTATTAAGTTGTGTTCTTTTCTGTCATACTTGTTTCATATGCAGAATTTGTCAAAAGTCTCTTTGGTTTTAAATCCAAAATCTATTTGTTTCTTCTTTAAATGTGCCGAGGAAGGCAGAAAAACCTTCTTAATATCTGATCTGTGTTTTTCTTTTCTATTGAAGTAGAATCAAGTAGCTTGTGAGACCTTGTGGAATCCATCCAGGCATTACATGGGCTTGAACAGAGGACTGTTATCAACTTATTCGCAATGTGCTTAATCTACTTTTTTTTTAATCAGGTTTGGCAGGAGATAAGTGTGGAAGCTAAGCATGTGAAAGATATAATGAAAACACTAGAGAGTTTTAAATTAGACAGTACTCCATTGAAAGCTTCACAACAAGAATTACCAGCTCATGATGCAGAAGTCTGGTCTTTGCCAGTACCTGCTGAACGTAGGTAAGAGGAAACCTGAAGATCTAAATGAATGTTTATAAGCGCAAAGTGTGCTTTGACTTCAATCTGTTCCTGTGTAATTTTTGTTCTAGAACTTAAATGTGTAACATTTACACCAGTAGCTCGCCGCCATTTGTGGTGAAGGAGATGCTGTTTTGAGGCAGCCTACTTCAGCTGGGAAACTTCTGGGGATTTTATCTTATATAGGCTTGACTAATGTCAAGCTTTTCGCCCCGACCCCCGACTCAAGATAAACTTGTCATTCCATGGAAGCTCAACTCTATTCCTGAATTGATCTTTTCATCAACTTTAAAATGATTCTGCATGTAGCTGATATGAAAAGGAGGAAGATGTATCATCAGAGTAACAGTAAAATCTGTCCAAGCTCAGTTCCTTTTGTGTAGCAAGGTGGCTTCCTGATCTCCTTCAGGAACTGGTCAGTTAGGCTAACATAAGCTCAAGGGAAGGGGTGGGAACAAGCAGCTGCAGGCAAGCCTGCTTATTTCAGATGTAGTTTTGAATTATGCTGGATTAGTGACTGTGAAACCAAGGCCTTGTGGTGTGGTTTGACAACATAGCTGCTGCTGAAAGGGTAGTCCTACCCTCCACAGTTCCCTGAGGTTTGGTTTGGTTGGTTTTTTTCACTTTTGACTTTGTTGGTGTTGATAAGCTGGTCCAGGATGCTAAACTGGCAAAAAAAGACACTGTTTTGTGGGGCTAGTGGTTTTTTGTCTGGCTTTTAGTTTGTTTGGCTTTTGTTGTTTTTTTTTCCTGAGATTAGTTCTCTGAACTGGTTAATTGGAGGTTCTAACACATGCCAGTTGTAGCATGAAGGAGGGAACAGGAGTGCATGCAAAGCAGACAGAGAATTGTGCATTTTGACAGAAAGTGACTATTAGATCAGCTTAGCTGTGCTATCAGACTTCTTTGAGGCTTTGAACTTACATGCTGTTTCTTGCAGGTGGATAACTTCAGTCTTTATGGGTACATTTTTATGTTTGGGGTTTTTTTTAATCAATTTATTTTAAACCTGCCTTCTGAAAGAAAGGGGTCTTGTGTGGTCACACTGTTTCTGTTTATCTCATTTAGTAACTTTGAAACGCTGCTGGCTGATTTCATTCAACCCTTCTGGAAGAATAGAGTCTGGGAAGTAGAACTTTCCTCATGTTTTGAAGCTTTCTAGAGAAGAGATACACCAAAAAAAAGGGAAAGACTTGAGAGAATTGTTTCTGTTCCATTTATCTTGCTAGCTGGTGAAGTATTGAGTTGTGGTAATATGAAAAAGCCACAGTGAAAACTTGGGCTGTGTTGCGTTGGAACAGCCACAGTAAATTCCTATACTGAGATAGCAGAACTCACAAATTTAGGTGGAAATTAGACATGTAATAACACCATTCCTTTATTTTGAGCTTTGGGGTGGAATTCAGAGGTGGCTAGGTGTTCATAAATAAAAGTATAGGTTGGTAGGTACTCCATTTGGAGAGTGAAAAGACTTTTAACACTTATGATCTTCTCATTAGCATATTCACGTTGCCTAATATGCGTTTCACCCTGAAGAGATATGTACAGTTCTGACAAACTTGTTGCTGTGAGTCAATTAAAGACAACTTTTATGAAGGTACTGGATCCTGATATATCTTGAATGATATGTCAGAACACATCTTCTAGTTCAAGTAAATGCTCTCCAAATCAGTGTCTGCCATTTTCTGTTCTCTAGAAATATCCCTGAACTTAAATAGCTTATTAATACTGGAATTTTAGGAAGGTCCATGGAAAAAGTGTATCTGTGAGAGTAATGGATTTGTATGGGGAAGAAACTGAATTTTAAAAAAGAAATCCATAATACCAATCATGATATTGGTTTATTTATATGTGCTTCTAAAAGTAGTCTAGCTTCAAACAACTGGAGGCCTCGGAGGCCTCGCATACGTGTTTTCTCTCCCAAGAAGTGAAAATGAAACTGTCATTCCCAAGATACCTTTAAATTTCTTCAGGTAGGAGAGTGAGGACCACTGTGTTAAGGCAAAAATATATGGGGTTTTTTTTGTTTATTTTTTTCCTAAGCTCCATAATACTAGGGGTTACTTTTATTTATGAAATATACAAAGCAAGGAGCTTGTTTTAAGCAAATGAGCCCCAAGCTTGTGGCAAAGGGAAAATGGATTTTTAGTGACTATCTAAAAATGTCTGTCTTGTTTCTGACATACAGTTTTTTGTCTTGAGCAAAATGGCTTTTCAGTTTGTAACCACTTGATTTGGCTATGTAGTGCTCACCACTGACTTTACACTGAGGCTTTTTGCATATGTTACAACTAATTAGACCTTCGCCAGGACCCAGAAAACGTCAATCCGCTCAGTGCAGCGATTGCAGAGGTCACAATAATCGTATAAGTGCAGCTGTCAGAGGCCCTCACCGTCCATCCTCTCGAAATCCCAATGATAAAGGGAAGGCAGTCCGCAGCCGGGAAAAAAAGGATCAGCAAAATAAAGGAAAAGAGGAAAAGGTAAGCTTGCAAATAACTTCATGAAGTTGAGAAACTCAGTCTTGCTTTCTTAATGCTGAGTGTATTATAAAATTAGATGCCTATAAAATGTTTCTTCTGTTCAAGTCGGCATGCTGATTTGAATCTCACCTTAAGTTATCTTTGCTTTATGGACATTCTTGGTTACGGATTAATTAAAAAAAACAAACCCGCATTTGGAGGAAGTGATCTGGTAAATGTGGGCTTGTTCACTGCAACTGAGAGATAGTTGTTTAAAATTATACCACAGAATTACTGAAACTGAGCCTGACGGAGCTCATTCAAATGGGATGTCCTTGTGGGTTCTTTAATTGATTTCATATATTTTAGACTGAGATTGACTCGCCTGTTCCAAAGCATTTCAAGATTTATTTAATCTTAAAGGGAGACTTTTACTTTTTTTTTTTTGTTGTTGAGATCTGGTATTAGGGCCAGACTCTTTTCAGTTTAAAACAAACAAAAACCCAACATACTTCGTGAGAGAGAATGATCTATGATCTGTGATCTATTCTTTGCAGTCAGAGTGCTTTAATTTTTGCTTGTGCTCTGGTCTCCATAAATTCATATGACCAGAGTAAGACATCATACTGAAGACACTAAGTTCGTAGTTTTCCAAAGTCACAATAAATCAAATATCCATGTAATAGTTTGTTAGCTTCAGCAACCTTATGTAGTGGCAAGGTGTCATGGCCTGTGGAAACAGTATAAACTACAAGGGTGGAATTGTTTAGCTATGTAAGCTACTACTTTTATTAGGAGCTAAATTACATTGTCTTTGAGTGATAATTCTCTCCCACTAAGGGTATACACATACAGAGACAGGATAGGTCTTTTTTCTTTTTTACAGTTGTTCTGTCATCACCAGTGCTTGCTGTTAAGTGTATAAAAACCAGGGTATGTCTGGTGCATTTTATTTCCTTTCAGTTGCATGGTCTTTGCTGTTTGAGCCCTTTCAACTGTGTAGGTTCTTTGCTTCTGCTCTACTGCAGAGCTGCTTCTCTGCTGTTCTTGTCCGTGCTTCTGTAGCAGTTAATTAGCTCTTTTTTACTTCTGTGGTCTTCCTGTAGATCACTTTTGCTCATCCTATATATGGAAGTCCTGCTTAATTTTTTTTTTTGTGTTGCATATATATGGCGTATTTATGACACGTTAGGATTTGAGATACTCTAGTTCAGTGTGACACTTTCTGATCCAGTCTCATGCATAATTCCTGCTACCCAACTACTGTCTCAGATAGTTTTGGATTTCTCTGGGAGAAGAGGCGAACACTGTTATGCTGGGATAGGTGTATGCAGTTTTGATTACCTACTAAAGCAGAGAAGCTGCATCAGTACAATATGCTGGCTTTGGGGAGAAGGCAATGGGACCAGGGCAGTACAGAAGTCTGGGTGAACAACATAGATCCTGCAGTGCAGCAGGAATATGGATGCTTCATAATTTTCATGCTGGTTTATGTTGCCATCTTCTAGAAATATGATGCTATTGTGGACTTGTTATAAAAATCCGTTAATAGCATAACCATTGTTACGTATTTACGTTGTTATATCCTTTATATGTAGAACAAATCCACATCTGAGATTTCAGAGTCTGAACCAAAGAAATTTGATAGTACTGGATATGATAAAGATTTAGTAGAAGCTTTGGAAAGAGATATAATTTCTCAGAATCCCAACATTCGATGGTAAGTTTGAATACTGCTGCCAGTCTTTCTGAGTGGTTGTTTCTTTTTCTTCTTATACAATATGACAAGAATTAAGAGTTTTAGCATATGCTGACGTATAAAAAGTACCTACAGGTTTTCTTTACTCATTAAATAGGCAACTAAACTTCTTGCATAGTTGAATATTTTTAGAACTTTTTTTTCCACCCATAGGTTCATAGAATAGTTTGGGTTGGAAGGGACCTTTAAAGATAAGCTAGTCCAACACCTTGCCATGGGCAGGGGCATCTTTCCCTAGATCAGGTTGCTCAAAGCCCTATCCAACCTGACCATACAAAGCTTCTCAAACTTTTCTAAGAGTCCTGAAATCAGTTTTTTGAGATACTGTTTTGCAATGTGTAAGATTCTAGCGTCTGCCAGTGTCTCTTCATTTAAAAACCTGTTTCACTACCCAGGGGCATACCAAGATAGAAAAACAATTAACAAAGAAGTTATGTCAATATAGGAACCCTTTGAAATCTTGCTGGATGTGAGGTGACTGCCAGTATAAAATACAACCATGTGACAGTACCTTTACATAAATGTGTTAAATATTAAACCTTATACAAAGGTTGTTTTGCATTCCAAATGTTTCCAGGCTTAGGTGGTTTTGTGAGGATTAAATGAGCAAAAATCTTCTGGCAAGTAAAGTAGGCTTTAAAAAAAAACTTTAACAATCCCACAAACAACTTTGCATGCAACTGTCATGTATTTTTCAGTTTAATATGTAAATATATGTTTCAGTTTTTATATTGAATCTTAAATTAGAACGTCAGATTTGAACTAATTCTCCATATAGATATGTTTTGAAACAAAAATATTATTGGGCACATGCTGATAAGTGGAATGCCCTGTGAGTTACCCTCAAGAAAATAAGACCAGCCTATAAAGTATCTAAGTATTAATACATTTGCAATTCTGAAAAAGAATTCTAAGAATTCTTTTTAATTCAGCTCCATTTACTAGTCTTCAGTAAATTGTTCTTGTAATGATGAAAGATGCTATTCAGGTTTCAGGGACAGCCAACCTCTGAGCAAAAGAAAAAAGCATCATCTGGAACTAGCATAAGATTAACCAACTTGCCTTATTCTGCTTATTCTTCCTGTGAATAAGAGCAACGATGCTCTAGTGAAACAGTTTATGTGTCTCTCCTTGCTTTTGCATCCAGCTGGAGTCTACTAGCTGGATGTCAACTGTAGTTGTAGGTTTTTGCTGCTAGAGCATAAATAAATCCAACTCATTTTCCTGCATTATGGAAGAGCCGTTACATAACAATAAGTTTAACTGCATGTTGCTTTGAGCTGTAGACTGATTCTTTTGCAGTCTGTCTGAATCTGTCAAACAACTTTCTCTTTCTTGTCAGGGATGACATTGCTGACTTAGTAGAAGCCAAAAAGCTGCTTAAGGAAGCTGTAGTTTTACCAATGTGGATGCCAGAGTTTTTTAAGGGAATTAGAAGACCATGGAAGGTATGAAAAAATCTGATCCTGTGATCATAAGTAGGATTCTGAGTTTGGATCTTGGCAGAACAAGAAATTTCAGGTGGTTTACAGTTTATATAAATTCTAACCACTTTTTAGTAACAAAATTTATGGTAAATAGTACTAACAAAATAAAGATGTCAGCCAGATAAATACACTGTCTTCAGCTATATTGTTGCAAGGAAGCAATAGTAATTAATTAATTGAATTTGAATAACTTTTCAAGGGAAAGTTTACATATAATGTTTTAATATTATACTACTAAACAAACTGTGAAATTGTCTGTGTTTTGATTCCTGTCCTAAAAGCAGTTCTTTTTCATTTTAATAGGGCGTGCTGATGGTTGGTCCTCCTGGTACCGGAAAGACCCTCCTGGCAAAAGCTGTAGCCACTGAATGCAAGACTACTTTTTTCAATGTTTCTTCTTCCACACTTACCTCAAAATACAGAGGAGAATCTGAGAAACTTGTTCGTCTGCTGTTTGAAATGGTGATTGAAGTTTCTGAACTTAAGTAGTGAGATAATGAAATAGAATTACTTCTGGAATAGTGAAACCTTGCCAAGGTTTAGAACTCGTAGCATACATAAACAGCTCTCCAACCTTCAAATGCTTTAGGACCTTCTGATTTGGCCATGTACATTCAAGATCTGATTATTCCTAAATAGTTTTATTAAAACTGAAAAATTAGGTTGTCTTTATTTTCAGGGGTAGGTTGTTACATTAGAGGTAGCTTGCTATAAGCTGATGAGTGCTGTAGAACATATTTGAATGTAAAACTGGAGGTGGAATCTAATTGCTTTCTGGGTGAGAACACTGCTTAGGCTGTGTGTGGTTTTGGTTGTTCTTGTGGGTGTTTTTTTTGTTTGTGCTTAAGATAAGTGGACTTCCAAATTGTGGTTGTCTTCAGAGCACATAACACTTGAAATTGGCTCAGAATATGTAGTCTTTTTTTCATGTGTTACATGCAGTGTTTGCGAGGGTGCCCAGTACTGAAGAGGGCAGCAGAGTTGCAATTGCAGTAGTCAGAAAAGTCAGGAAATAAAAGATCTCTTTTACAATATAGTTTGACGATATTACATTAGTTGATACCATGCCTGTCAATCAAAAATGCATATACACAATGGACAGCATCTCAACTACTGTAGGACAATAGCTTTTATTATTGCAGATCCTTGTCTTTGACCTCTCTTTTTTTCAGAAAGGTTATTTTGCAGTTGATCTGTCTCTTGGACAGGTTCCATATCATGGTGTCCTAGCTTAATGTTCATCCTAGCTTTAACAGAGTCCTTATTCAAGCATTCTGTGATGACTTTCACAGTTATAAATGTTATTCCAGATGTGTAAAACTGCCTTTAGCTTATTAAACATTTGTTTATACCCCTAACAATTATAGGACTTTGCCAAAAACTGTTCTGCTCAAATGTTATTAATGAATGCACAGCTGGTCTGTAGCTGTGTGCAATGGTCAAAGAGAGGGAGGGTTAGGTATTTTTTTATATTTACGAGCTGATTCATTGGGGTAAACATGTAATTACTCAGCTCTGAATACGCTGCTATTTCTTAAATGCGAGTAGACTGCCATTTAGTTTCTGTTTTATCTTCTGCTTTCTTTAGGCTCGATTTTATGCCCCGACAACTATATTTATTGACGAGATAGACTCCATCTGTAGTCGCAGGGGAACTTCAGAGGAGCATGAAGCTAGCCGACGTGTCAAGGCAGAACTGCTAGTTCAAATGGATGGTAAGTAACCCGATCACTGGGAAGTGCTGGACTGGAGGAAACTTGGGGGGGGAGGGGTGTCAAAACTTCATTCTTCAGAAGCAGTTTGTTCGAAAGCCTTACATAAAATTGGGGTAAAAAGATACAAGTGCACTATTCCAATTGTCAGTGTGGAAGGAAAAAAGTTGCCGATTATTTAACAGTATTTTAGCATCCAAGCAATGACCTTATATTACTGACCCAGAATAATGAAGATTCAGTGGAAAATACAAGATTTCGAAACTGCAGAAGAAAAAAAGTATTAATTGCTCCTTTCAATCTTTACCTAGTATCTCACTTCTCCAAAACCAAGTAAAAAGTGGTTCAAAAGAACTGTCGCTGGTTCCAGTTTAAACTTCAAAGGCAATCATGACACTTAACTTCAGAAGTGGTTGGGAGAGTTTTCTTTTTAAAACACTGAGTTCATCACAGCTATTTGGTTAATATTTCACAAATCAATAAAGTTTAAAAGTAGGTAACACTGTGCAAAATTGCTATAGAAGCATCCTTTTTATACTCTGGTGAGCAGAGAGAAAGAAAGGAGCAACTGAAAAGTGCTAATCTATGGACTAATTTGTGATAGAATTCCATGAGTCAGAATATTTATTTCTGGTTCTCTGATGTTGATACCCTTTTATGTTTGATTTTAAATAGCAGCAGAGCTGTAATACTGTTCTCATAACTCAAGTATGTACATAAGCTAATTTTATTAGTAACAACTATTTGAAGTCCTTTTACCTGAGCATTCATAAATGGTGTTTTGTATGCAAATTTTCAGGCAGACTAAATACAGTGGCTATTCCACAGCCCAATCCTATGATTAAAAGCAAAAACAGTAAATGCAGAGAGTAGCAAGTTTAATGAAATTAACATCTTCATATAGCAGCAGTTTCATAGTACTTTAGAGACAGAGGTGTTCTCTCTGCCACTGAGAAGTTGTGATTCAGTCCACCAAATTTAAACATTCACTTCAGCAGTTTGCAAGAATCCACCTGTGCATGTGAAATATTTGGCCTGAATTCAGAAGTGAAGAAACTTTGTAGAGGAGTAATGCTGCTTTTGCATGGCTGTTAGTGAATACTGTTGCAGAGGGGGAGGTGTGTGGGTTTTGGTGTGGTGATGGTTCTGGGGCATTGTTTTGGTTTTTTTCACATGCTATTACAGGACATTGATGTGAAAATTCAAACACTGTAATGGCAGAAGTACAAACAACTCTGCCATAAAACCATTCCAGCCATGATAGAGAGGAACTTTCTGATCTGAGTTGTGGCCTATGCCACCACTCCTATTTAAACCAAGTCTCCATTTTTGCTTGGAGGCTGCCATATGGATGAAAAACTGAACTCTATTGCACTTAGTGATTCTATTGCACTTGGACTCACTAGAGTGCAATAGGGTAGTTGCTTTAATATTATAGAATTGTGGATATTCTTCTCTCGTTACAGGAAATTTCACAAAATATACGTACATTTTACTTCCTCTCTTCTCTAATGCAGGTGTTGGAGGGGCTACTGAAAATGATGATCCTTCCAAGATGGTCATGGTACTTGCTGCTACTAATTTTCCTTGGGATATTGATGAAGCCCTAAGACGGAGACTAGAAAAGAGAATTTACATTCCTTTACCATCAGGTATGAAGACTTGGGAAGAGGAGTGGTTGAAAAGACTAAAATCTAAACTTTATCAATATCCTTCAGTTTTGATCACCTAGTTTAAAAATCTAATTGATACACGTATGCAAATTCATTTATGAATTCAGGACCAGGTTAAATCTAAACATTGAACACTTACCTTTGTAGCAAGTACAGTGTCCTTTTTCTCGTTCTTCCCTCTTATCCTTCTTCAATTCATTATTTGTCTTCAGAAAGCAAATTGTATAGACTCAATTTTCTATTCTTTGATTAGCAAAAGGTAGAGAGGAACTCCTAAGAATAAATCTGCGAGAGCTGGAACTGGCTGATGATGTTGACCTTGCAAATATAGCTGAGAAAATGGAGGGTTATTCAGGTGCAGACATTACCAACGTATGCAGGTATGTTAACATTGCATCATTTGTGTTACGACTGCTACAAACTCTGAGAAAACTGTTTGTAAAGTAACTAATTTAAATGATTAAAGTTGTTGGATAAAAACAGACTGTAATCTGTTTTTTATGTATGGCTAAAAGGTGAAATACTGCATTAATGTTTACCTAGATTTCCATTTGATATTTTCATATAATAATGAGGAAGAGCGGTTGCAACATAGTGATCTAAACAAGCTATGATTTAGGTAAAATTCCATGTTCTTTCATATACACCAAATTTCTTGCATAAGGAATATCCACAGGAAGGTAGACTTTAACTTGTAGAGTTGCAGTCATTCCTCTGAGGTTATACTACTTTAGTGGAACATCCATGTGTAAGAAGCAATAGTGGCAGAGGCCAGAATAACTAAAGTAAAAATGTGGAGTGTTTTTCTTTTGTGACACAGAAAAGATATACCATATTGTGTGACAGTACAAGAGCTGGGTACTCAGCACATTGGCTTTAGCGATGAGGCTGACTTTTTTTCTACGTCCTCCATCTCCCCTTCTCCTCAGCACTGTTTGTATACAATCATTTGTAGGCCTATTATATAAATTAGACTTCTGAAATAATCGACTAAAAATACTTTCTAACCATTCCCCTAATCTTTTCTTTTCTTTCAAAAATTGAAAAGGGAAGGAAATGACCGATCTTTTAAGAGACTATTATCACTCATCTGGTTTACATCTAAAGATTTGCAGTAGCACAGTTGGCAGCAGTGGCAAATTATGGAATCAGCAGTAAGGGACAAAGAACTGAAACAGCTTAAGATGCTGTTGTCATCTAATAAGCACCTGTGTAACTATGCTTTCAGGCTTTGGAGGTAGCACTGAAGTGTGGCAGTGCAAGGCTTGAGCTCCAAGTTGTGCCAGCGCAACTGTTGTGGGGCTGTACTTTGAAAAGGGTAAGAGAACTGTTCTGGATTAAAAACACGTCCTCATTACTTTCCTCAAATGCAGATCCATTCCTTGCCTTGATTCCTAATAAAGCTCTGTAAATGCTTGTCAGCACAGCTGAAAGGGCAATACGCTGTGCCACAGGGATGAATGCAAGTAACCTGTATGCAAAACTGCCACCAAAGGCTCTGTGAGACTTAAGTCTGAGCTAAGAGTTTAGAGCCTCAGTACTATTTCCTGAACAAACCTTACACAGTGTCCGGGAAAATAATGGTATGTTAGTTGCTCAGAATCAGTGTTGTGCAGATGTTTCATTTGTAGGCTTGTGAGATGAATTTGTGGTGTTCTTTTACTCGGTTTTGGTGTTGGTTGTGCTTTGAAAGGAGTTTGTGCCAATAGGTTCACGTTGTATGAAAGAGTTTATTTGGCTTGCTGCTTTGTGCATTTTAGCTGCAGTTTGTCTCCTCCGGTCTGTTCGGTGTTTGTTATTAATTTTATACTGGATACTAGCATCCTTGGTTAAAAGTCAGAATACTTGTAATGTTTTTCAGCAAATTTCATATGTATATACATACGTGCACACACACTGTTGCTTTTTATTTTTTAATCAAAGTCCAATTGTAAAAATACTATTCAAAAAACAAAACCACAAAGAAACACCCGAGTCCTTCATTTGTGGTAGTCTCCTTAGAGATGACTGAAGTGGCAGCAACCAGAAATCCAGACAAATTGGGGTTTGGATGTGCATGATTTGAAATTAGTAAGAAAGTATGCATATTAGCCTGTGTATTTACACTTTGTTAATGCTGTCAGGAAAAACAGATCTTAGACATAATTGTTTCATTTACACTGAGACAAAAGTGGCTGATTTAAAAGTGCTTTTGTATGGTTCAGGCTCACGGTACATAAGCATAGTAAAGTTCAAACTTGTAGACTAACAGTCCTCACTAATGACACAAGCCAAACTTAAGAAAAAGTGAATGAAGAACTCTGGTTTGCTCAATTACTCTCCTACCTTAAAGAACTTGAGGTGAAATCCAAAGTTAGCTGAGCCAGAGTGAAAACCAATCAGACGGTGCAGTTACTAACAGTCAGCATATAGCCATGGAAAATGAAGGTGAAACTTTATTTTAAAAAGACATTCAGGAAATACAAAATGCATCTAAATTGCATATTAGATGTGAGTACAAACTGACTTTGAATCGTTGTTTTGAGTGGACTGGGAAGGTTGAAAGGCCTTTGGAACAGAACTGACCCCTGCTGTGTGTTCCAGTGGGTGGCTTCTTATTTTTTGAATATAGTTTTGGTGATTCTCCAGGCACTAAGGGTGCACTTGAGGAAGCACTAAGAGTTGATGTTGGAATGTCAGTAACATGACTTTACAGAAGTAAGTGGTGGCAGCTGCACTTTAATTTTGTGGGTGTGTTGAGGTATGGTGGGTTTTTTGTTTGTTTGTTTGGGTTGTTTTTGTTGTTTTTTGTAAACTGCCATCTGGAGGCAAAGTATATGCATGGGATGCTCCCCCACCCCACTGTGTAACACTCGTTTTTAGTTCACGAATTATGATATAACAGCAAAGCATGGTGGTATTTGACTAGATGGAGTTCAACTAGGCAACTTTTTTGGGTTGTTCTGAAATTCTAGTTATTGTAGTATGCATTCTAATTGCTAACAATTTAGTAAATTCATGAAGTCTGTCAGTTATGGTTTCCTTTAGGGGGAGGGGGTGAAACTGAAACAGAATATGCTGAAACCATCTTTCTAAATCCTCCTAGAAGACAATGTGTAAGTTTTTTTCCTCTCTTTGGATTCTCACCTACTAATACGATATGATATACTGTTGTGATATTGCCAGGATTACCCTTCCATCTTTTTTACTGCTAGACAAAATAAGTAGCATTTTCTTCTTCTTATAAGCTATATAACAACGAATTAGCAGGAACTTTAGTCTTTCAGTGTCACCCATTTATCACCTCACCAGCTCATCACCTGCTGCTACTGATATTATTGTTGGAAATGCAAATGCAGTCAAACTTAGTGCAGCAAGAAAATAACACACTTAATGTTTATCGAGGCCAGAAGTTTGAGGAGCTACAGGCTGAATAAATTTTGTAGTTTAACATTTAGTTGTGAAAGTATAGGTTGGAGGTAGATACTGTGGATTCCTATTTGGACCAGGAAACATTCAAAACATTCCAGCCACTTCTACGCGTAGGAGGAGTGAAACCATTACTTTTGCCTTGTTCCTGTTTAAAAATACTACAAACAGCAGCTACATCATAGGCATGCAGTGGCATTAGATAAACCAGTTAGTCTTCACCTCTTTTGCCTAGCCTGTGAATAGTAGCTATTCAAAGATCCAGTGAGGATAAATCCATGTTTGAAAAATACGGATAGCATGGTGTTGTAGGTTGTACGAGCACTTGGAGATCTTACCATAAAAGTTTACAGTTCTTTGTTTTATCTTTTTGACTGCAGCAGCTTAACTGGAATGCTATGTTGAGCCTTTCAAACAACTGAACTTGCCATCCTGTATTAAGTAACTTTGTTTTTTTCTTTTGCATCCCTAACAGAGATGCATCGTTGATGGCTATGAGAAGGCGTATTGAAGGCTTGACACCAGAAGAAATAAGAAATCTTTCCCGAGATGAAATGCACATGCCAACAACTATGGAAGACTTTGAAATAGCTTTGAAGAAAGTTTCTAAATCTGTATCTGCTGCGGACATTGAGAAATATGAGAAATGGATAGTTGAATTTGGATCATGCTGAGTTGTCTTATCTTGAAGAAGCCACCTTACGTCTTAAAACAGCTTTATAAGTAATAAGTAGTGTGTCAGTGCACTGCGTGCTCTTTTTAACTTTTGTAATTTAAGAGCAACAGATGTCTAAATAAATTTTTTTTTTAAATGCAAATTCTGTCTAGCTCTCTTTGAACTAGCTCAAAAGTTACCCATTTTTTTCAAATGTGGAAAATACTGATGGGATCTGCTTTGATCTTCAAGATTTTAAAGTGACTTAAATTTAAGACTAGAACTCTTGCATTAGAGGGTTTACTCTTGAAAAATAGCTATTACACCAAAAAAACCCCAAACTAGCCCTGCTAAATGAGTAAGGAATGCTGAGAACTAGAAAATGGGATGAACAGGGTGCAGTTACATAGATGGTTTTGCTAACTGATCTTAAAGAATTCTACCCTTAAACTGTTTCTAAGTTATTAATAAAGAACTTGTACAAAGGTTGAGATTTAGAACAGCAACCCTTGCGCTACTAAGAGTCAATAGATTCAACTGAAGTTTAAGCAAGGGGTAGGATCATCACTGGCTTACAGTATCTATTAAGTAATATTAAAATACATCCAGCCAGTGTAAACTAATTCGGTGCAGCCAGCCCTGATGCAGAGTCATGTGTGCAGTCTCCTTGAAAGTCTGAGAGAAAACAAAAGCTTTCTGGCATTAATACTGAAATAGTTTTTCTTCCTTGACTGTATGGTACTGTAAGCTTCAAACCTCTAGACCAGTAGGTTGGGTCCTGGCTTACACTGCACATTTATTCTGGTAAGGCAGCGTGTGTGTTACTTTTGTGCTCAGTTGTTTTCTGTTCATAACCCTGACTTTACAACTGATGTAAAATCTAAATTCTCTTTTTGCATTACATGACAAGTGGAATGTAGAAGCAGTTCTCTGAGTGGTTCTACAGTGACCATTTATGTCATCACTTTAGATTTTGCTCAACAGTTGGTCATTGTAACTAAAACATCTATCACTTCTGTCCGTCTCCTATTATTTTGGAAACACATTATTTTTCCTGCTAGCTCATCTCAGAGCAGGCAGCTGTAGTTCTGCTTACAGCTGAACCTCATGCTTTTTCATTAATCAAATATGTCTAGACTTGTTTCAGCTGGTAGATACATGCCATAGGGAACTGGCTGGTGGAATTCCTGCTCATGTGTCTCTTCAGATGCTGCAAGGCAGATGGGAAGGACAAATGATAATGAAAAGTTGCAGTCCGAGTAGAAGGCAAATGCGTCCCAAATACACAGTTGTGTAAATGCCATTATCGTGAACATCTTGTTTATGTACTCAAAATTCAGCACTATGTCATGAGTGACAGTTGGACACGCTGAAAAGGGACTTTCAGCAGTGCCAGTGATGAGGCACTGTAGTAAGACACTGAGATGCAGATATTGTGGAGAGGTCCTGAATCCTTGGGTGAACCTGGCATAATGAACCCAGAAACAAAGGGAAGAAGTTGGGGTGAGTATACAAGTGTGTCTGTTTACAGACTTCCATCTCCAAAATGGAAAACAAATTTACCTCTTTCCTTCCAAAAGGATAGCCGTGTGTGTCAAGAGTTAAGAAAAAGATGCAGTATTTTGAAGAAGTGCATTCTTTTCATACTTATTCTTCTGTTTGTATGTTAGGATGAGTGTAAAGCTGTCTGCTATGCACTGATGTTGCAGGAGGAGATTTCTTCCCATAAATCAATTTATTGCAAGCAAATCAAAATACTCAATATGTCACCTGAGTAAGAAGGGAAACTAGGCAAGGTTTAGTCCCCAGAAGCAGTCCAGTAAAGGGCCACTTAGACTGAAAGCGTGATATATTTTGAGAACATCTAAAGTAAACTTCATTTTAAAAGCAGTACTTTAGTACTACAGCTTAACCAGCCCTGTTTGCTCTAAATGAACAGAGTGAACACCTGTGTAATATGTGGCGGGGGTGGGGGTGGGGGGGAAGTGGTAGATGCTGAATTTGTAGCTAAGAGGTTAGTTTTGTTTTGGAACGCAGAACATAATGATACCAACCCCTCTGGAGGGAAGGGCCAGGGCTGCTTAACTTGGTGTGTGTAAAAGGCAGAGAGACATTCTGAGGGTGAGACAGAACAAGGAGGGCTGCAGTGACGCACAATTTGTGGGGAGATAAGAGATTTTGCCTTTCCTAAAAACCTACTGCCATCCTACAGAGTGGGTTTTTTTGGGTAGTAGTGGATTTTTGGTTTGGTTTTTGTTTGTTTGGTTTTTGGTTTTTTTCTTAGTTCTGCACCCCCTTTCTTTCCCGTAGCTGGCACCTGTATCCCTGTCAACTCACATCCTGGAAAAACGAGACCTACCGTGACTGGCATGCAGGACAGTTGCCCTTTCATAACTGTGGTAGTTGTGGGAAGGAGTTTTTAAACTGTTTTACAAAATGGTTCAGAGTGGTCCCAGCTGAAAGTAGCGTTCTTCTGAAAGGCATGAGGCTTTTATGACTCAGGAAAACCATGTGCATGCTAAAGCAGGACACTAGCGCTTTAACTTTTTAAGACTTGTTAGCTCCAGTTCCATAGCACAGCAATACTGTCTGGCAATTACTGTGTTCAAGATTTGCACTATTGTTTTTTATTTAATTTCATTCATCTGATGGTAGTATTTCTTTCCTTGTGCTTTGTAACTTTTTAGAACACAATACAGAAGAGGATTATTTAGCTCATGGAAATCGGCCAAGTTGTGAAGCAGTATCAAAACTTCTTCAGGCTTAACCACTCATTTATGTTGCAGCTGTTTAGAGTTAAATCTCTTGTTGCTGTGCAGGTGCTTGGTTTAGTTTCCGAAGTACGAACACGAAGAGCACATGCTAACAGCTGCCGAATTTCCATCTGCAGTACAATTCATACTGTGCTTGTGCAGTAAGGAAGAACTGTTGTGTTTCATGTCCATCCTACCTTCTTCTTTTTTCCCCCAAAGCAGCTAAATTTCAGCCTTACATGTCACTTCTATTTGAACTATATATTCAGATAGGCCTGGGCTATGTTCATGAAGTGGAAATAACATTAATTTCCACATACAGAGAGGAAGCGTTTGTCTACAACTGTTTGAAGACTTGCTCTTGTCTGTGCAGTCACCATTCCTGCGCCAGAGTCTTAGCAGTTTCATGTTTAGGTGTGGATGATGACCCCTCTGTCATGTGTTTTCTTTCACTAAATTGAATTCTTAAGTCAGATGCCCCTGTAGCTCTATCATCACCTCTGTCTTACACGGTTATGTTACCGTTACAGTCGCTCTCTTGTGGTATGGTCCTGGAAAGCACTGCTTGGGGCTCCAGGGCTGTCAGTTACTGCTACTCGCTCCTGACCTGCAGAGTAGCTGCCCTGCTCCAGTGTCTCATGGCTCCACACCTGCCCTGAGCACCCACCCGGTTGTGACACAGCCCCCACTTCTATCATCCTTACTCAGCTGGATAGCTGACAAATGTTTGGGCTCCTACGCTCTAATGACGCTGAGCTTGAGGAAGTAAATGCAAAGTACAAACCCACAAGGTGCTAGAACAAAAAATAAAATAAAAAAAAAAGGGAAGTTTGAGCAGTGTCCCTGTTATCGCAGGCTGACGTATACCATGCTGTGCTGCTAGGTAGTGTTCTTTGTTTTGTTATTTTTGCAAGACAAGTCAGTGTTAGAGATGTTTCTTCCACCACTGCAGTGCTGTCATTACTGAGACAACTTGAGCTGCTCTGTCACAGACCAGCTGTAAGGACAAGCATCTGAATAACTTAGAGATCTTGTTAAGCTTATGATAATCTTTCCTTAAGGGGGAGGGGAAATCCTAGCTTTTCTCCCTCACTCTAAAAGCTTAAGCTGAACATGGATAATTCTGATCACTCAAATGATAACTGTGCTCAGTCTAATGCTAGGTAGTTAAGGTTCTTTTATTTTTCTCCTAGTCATTCTTCTGACAAACAATTTTTGTAAATAAGAACAATGAAAAGCTAAAAGACAAATACTACCCTGCATCTAATGCATTTGGCAAACTACTATTTTACGTAACTAAATATAGATGCACACATGAACACAGTCTAATAAACAATTTAAATGTTTATTTGAAAAATGTTAACAGTACAAATCAGCATGGGCAGACTGGGCCTACTTGGCAATAGTAAGCCAGTACTTTTGTAGAATTTTCTTTTTTCTTTGGAGACTTCACATAGTACTGCTATCACAGATACAGAAAGCACATTGTTTACAAGTGCTAACAATTTTTATTAGTGGAAGGGGCCATAAAAGTGTAAAGTGCTTGAAGTATAAATCTGCCTTTTTAATTTTTATTTTGCATATACAAAATGTCAAATTACTTGAGTAACACAAATGTTTGGTAGTGATATTTTCCTTGCAAGGCACACTCAACCCTAAGAGACCTGAAACCAGGTTGGGCAGCTTTGTTTAGGCTTGCAGGCACAGCTGATGTTTGCGATACTCCCTCGTCCTTCTCTGAAGAATGCTATCTGGAGACTTCAGGACACCCTGAATTTCATCGTCTTGCTATTCGGGATAGCTGACTATGGGCATGAAGGCAGCCAGTGCCCTGTCCGACGTGTGGAAAAGTGACTTCACAGAAGTTAAAACCAATGATAGCCCTCAAGGTGGAAAGCTGTTTTATTTTGAAGCTTCTGAAAAGGCTGCATGTTTACGGAGAGGCACAGGGAATTCAGCTTCGGGCCTCAGCCCGAGTGTCCCTTTACCAATAAATCAACTCACTTAGTTTTCTTAGTAGGAAATAAACAAGGTATTAAGATCAAGTGCCAAATTTCAGGTCAACTAAAAATTTGTTTTTAAAAACCAGTAACTCCAAAGTAAACACAATATTAAGTACATGCTTTCTCATCTAAATTATTTTTCCTGTCTGGAAGATCTGAAGGCAAGCTGATGGTAATCACAGGTACAAAGCTGACTTGATCCAGGAGAAGGATGCCTCTGAAAGGTAAGATTACCTGGCATTAGAAAACAATATACAAAACAATTCTGTATTCTAAAAATTAGCTTTATTCTTAAACTCCCCAAACTTAGTTTAAATCAATGCATCAAGTATTACCCTCATAATCTCTTTTATGAAGCAAGAATGAAAACTTGATGGAAAACTGGTTCCAGAATGTA